GTACTGAATGGTACATCTACGATATTGACCTCTAAAAAATGATTTTCAACATCACATGCAATGTTGCCAATGAGGTATGATTAAGTATTTAACATCATTTAACACTTTAATTTCCCTGCAGCTGGTTTGGGCAAGTGAACATGCTTAGCTTGCATAATAATAGAAAAGCCACCTTGCACAATCCCAGCCATCTTGCATAACTTTAGCCATCTTGCATAACCTCACATAAAACACAAACCACTCAGGAAAACATAAAAACATTTTCAATAACGTTTCCAATTATCGTAATGAAGGGAACCAGTAAGTAATAAATTAAACAGCCACAAATTCAAAACTCAACAGTTCTCCAAATGATATCAAAATGCCAAAAATCAGACGGCTTAATAAAATTTTCATGGGAAATTGCATAAACTAGAAGGAAACATTAAGCAAGGGTGGTAGTGGTCCAGACAATCCTATTATCACTTAATGGATGATTTCATGCAGTGTAAGATTAGAGTGTTTTGAATAAAACTTAATTGATTTGAAAACAAATTGAGAATTTTCTTATATAATTCAAATTATTCAAGGCAAGTGTCAAGTTTTGAAAATATGATTTTTTTGTTTTGATCAATGTACAACAATGAAATACAATAAACGGATTGTTGTACTAATATAATACTTATGTAGTATTTTTGAGGAAAAGCCAAAAACCACAATCATTTACTAGTTCAACTTTTATACTGTTATGCAAGTACTCAGTGCTTTTAACATTACACATCATACAAATACAAGTCATAACTTCAAATTATAGGATAAACATTTCCACATCAATAAGAAAGCATGTTCTGGTCAAATTATTTGAAGAGTTTAGACAAGGGATTCAAAATCTATAAAGTATAATCTCAAAAAATTATACTAAAACGGTGCTACTAAAACATATAGAGTACAAAATGCAGAAGAAAGTATGACAACTAAATTCCCGCGATAAATCAGAAACAAACTGTTAATTTTTTTAATCTATGGATGCTAAAAATTAGAAAAGAAAATATAGGATTAGTGCCGGGTAAAACAAACTACTCAATTATAGTACCCAACAGTACAATCCAATTCTATAATATTTTCCCAATTGAATTAAACAAGTATGTGTTAAGGGCAGGTTAAGGGCCATTTATACAAATAAATACAATATCGATTGTAATTAAAATATTGAAATAATCTCAACACTAGGTCCAGTTATCCAAGTCCAATCTATACTATCCAATTCACATGAACTGTTCACTTTAAAGATGTTATACTGGATTAAGATATTTGACATTAGGCCAGGTTAGCAGAATGTCAAGTATTTCATTTATCTGAAGTAGGATAACTATAATCAATATGTATTTACTTCTGTACACAATGAAATTAATCTAGATGTTAATATTAATACCAATCTGATGCTAATATATCTGATTTCATAGCTGTGAGCTAAAACAGGAAAAACACCATGTAACTTGATCATATGGTTTGTCAGTCTGACTCTTACATTCAGATAAGATGTTGTTGGAAGCATTTCCTCATTTTGTTTAAATATTTCATTTGGGCACAGAAAACAATTGTTGACTGCTCCAATGTCCAAGGTCAACAGTGAAACTGAGGTTAACAATGAAGGTATACAAATAAGTCGGTGTACTTCTGGATAGGTTTACAATTGTATTCATGAAACAAGGTGAAAATAGAGTGAAATGTCCAAATTGATCACCTGTAACGACTTATATAAGAGCTGAATGGTACATTCTTTTAATATTTTCTTAATCAATTGAGAAGTAAGTTAACTTTCCATAGGAACTTATTCCAAGGGCTTTGCTATATTATTTTGATATTTCCTCCTTGATCACCTGTAACGACTTAATTGAGATCTGAACTACATTCTTTCAGTACTTTCTGATTCTATTGAGACATAAGTTAACTATTCCATGGGAACTTACTCCAAGATTGAGCTTTGCTGTAGTGTTTTCTTAGATTATTATGTTGATCAATACATGAAGTATTCAGATATATTTAGATATTTGTTCAAATTGAGTGACATAATAGACGAGATATTTGAAAGTAAAATAGAAGTTCAAACAAGACTCAACAAGTCGGAATTTACTTAACAAACAACATACACCCTCGCATTCAACTTTAATCCATCCTTTACGAATAAACCAATTGTACCCATTATTCTACAAGATTATAACTATAGACAACATACAATGCCGTAACAATGGGAAAATTAAACTGTTTTATCGAGAATAACTTATATTTTGAGCTTGTTAAAATTTTTCTGATCTCAATTCCGTTTTTTAAATCTCTCGCTGGGATACCGCTGTTATGTATATGAAAGTTTGCATGATTATACTGTTTTTTAAACCCTACTTGCTGCGATATTACAATTCTTAAATCAACTTCCGTATCATTATGTCTCAAGAGAAAACAGAATTTAAGGCTCAATTTAAAGCCACTCTAGTGTTTACAAATATATCGATTAGCGTCATTATATTTTGATATGTACTGTAGATTGGGTTAATTTGGCGCTACTTAATTTGGCGATTTTGCCATTTTTGGCATATTGGCGGCTATTTAATTTGGCGGATATGCAAAAAAATGTTAATGGAATGTTAAACTTACGTGCTGTTTGCGAATTACCAAGTAAATGGGCATGTTTGGCTATGTTAATTTTTTCTTTTGAGGACCACTGGCGATATTCACCACGTTTGTACATTTTTGTGAGATCATCCTTTACATTTTACACCTCAATCGATGCTGCTACTTTTCCCTGAGTATTAATGAGTGACAGACCAGTTCTGAGCCAATTTATGAGAGATATTTTTTCATATTTTTGGAAAAAATAAACCGGAAGTGACCTTAATACACTGGACGAAATACCCTAGATGATTCCCGGGGATTCATTCTAAATTTTGACGGAGATTTATATTGGCGAATTTTTCAATTTCGCCAAATTCGCCAAATTAAAGCGGGCGCCAAATTAACCCAATCTACAGTATTGTATAAAAAATTATTTCGTCATTGTAATATAAACTAACCCAATAAAGGAATTCTTGAAAGGTAGAACAAATTGAATCTATGTTGTATGTTTAACAATATATTGAGTTATTTTATGACTTATACCAAGGGCATGTAGTTTAAGTTTACACAATAAACTGTACAAATAGGTTATAATAATCTTTTGTGAAGATTTGTCATAAGCTAAGGCTTGGTTCAGGCCTCTTTTGACTGAAATATTTCAACAACTTTGATCCCACACACAGTTCTATAAGGCATAAAATTGCTTAGTTCTCATGGCTGAAGACACACCATTTTTTCTTGGTGACATGCGGAATCCATAGTAAGCATTTAAGTTGACAATGAAAAAATCTTATGTAATATATTTCTTATGAATTGGATCTGTTATGATCTTAGAAAAACAGGAACAGATTACAGAAACCACATCCTTTAAACTGAGCAATATGAAAATGCCCCTGGATGAGATTAACCAAGCCTCATCAAGGGCCCCTCATAAACGTTGGCCCCCTGGATATGACAGGATTATGGTGGGAGGTCTGGGCTTTTGACACCAATTCACAAATTCATTAGACTAGTCATAAATGATACATGATATCTTCCATCCAGCCCTTATCTTCACACTTGTGTCTTATTTTAATTTTATTACAAATATATGAACTTAATGATCTGTGATACAATTGAGTTAATTTGGTGCTATATCATTTGACTGCGTCATGAATTCTTGAGGAATTTTTGGCAACTTTTTTTGAGAATTTTGTGAAACTAACTTTAAAAAGCCCATAGGAAAACATTGTGAACTTGTTATTAACTAATAAATTTGTGATCTTTGTGACAAATCAATCTAAAGCAAGGGAAGAGTGGACAATGAGCTGTTAACTATGCCTCCTCTTTATTTTGATTTTTTCATCATTTGATCATTAAAATTTTATCAAACAATCTGATTTTTTGGCAATTTGATATCATCATTAGTTTATAACTTATCCAGCATAAAATATAGTTTTATTAAATAAACTGAAATTACTCAAAATAACTTAACTAAACGTAACATCGCCAAATACCTCAACAAAAACATCACAGTCGCAAGGATTTTGATGAGTCAGCAAATTTTATCACAAAATTGATCTTCATTCAAAGACAAATAATAAACTAAGTGTAACGTCATCAAATATTTGAAAACAGAAATCACATTCGTAAGAAATTTTTATCTTTTGACATGTCACAAAGTCGAAAGTCACAAAAGGCCTGTCACATGATTAATTGCATCCTTCCAAACAGGGTATTATCTAATTCTGAAAGCAGTACACATGCTTAATAATTTACTTGTATACCCCTCTTAGGCTGGTTCTGAAAAAAAGTTTCTGAAAATAAAATTCAAAAATAAACACTCACCTGAGATATTCCTGCAAGCAGGTGTCACAAAATCGGTGTCCACAATTTGACAATTGAACGCAGTCTCGGAGGACCAAATGACAAATTTGACAGAAAAACTGTCGCTTTGGTCTTTCAACGAATGTTATATCATATCCAGGCATGATTTTCGGTGTTGTAAATGGTGAAAATTCGGAAGGAATTCCTCCACGCTTTACACATCGACTTCACAGCTGCCGGTTTGTTGTGATACCTGGGAATTGGGTCAGATACCGCAAAGTATTACCGATTAAATCAGTTACGACTATATGAAGTCGAAAATAAGGCAAAATTGCTTTGATTCATGTAAATGAAAGCTAACATGAGATGAGTATGAAATTGTGAATGTATGGTATTGGTTTATAATTGGCAAAATAAGTCGAAAATATCTTATATTTTCAAAACTTTATGTCGAAATTGGATGTGTTTACTTCCTTTCGGTTCTCATATAGATTAACATAGATGTCTCGCCAGTCAGCTCACAGTCCAAATTAACTTTAGCGTTCACAGTGGTCTTAGAACTTCTGGAATATTACTTTAAATCAAAGTCATTATTTGTCAGAATACGTAGATATTTCACTGTCTAATCAAACAGTTTTAAATACAGAAGTTTGATCACTAAATAAACTCTACCAGTATGATTATGAGAATTTGGAATGTGTATATTTTTGCCGCCATTTTTCAAATTAGAAAAGTTGAGGAAGAACACAGAAGTTTCCAAAATGATACAAGATATATGCGAGGACGATGTGAGCATGGTTCCAGACTCTGATATCAACTCTATCCCTACAGACTCTCCACAAGTTCTTAATTGCTTGACTCGGTAATTTACTGAAGGAGGGGATCAGGGAGAGGGAGGGGGTTCAAATTTGAAAATTTAGACCCCTGTCCTAAAAGTAAAATTCTTGTTCAAATGTTGTTGAAAATTAAAGTGCTAAAAATGCACGATTTAAAAAATGTAGGCCAAGTGCTTCGCTCAAACCCCCTTTGCCTCCCTTGCAACACCCGGGGACAACATCCAAAAAAATGATTGGAGCCCAAAAAATTTAGGGACCAAAATCTGGTTCCCACATAAACTGGGCAATTTTGGTAACAAATTAATAATCATAACTGAGCATTATTTTTTTTTTAAATTTGGGGCCCAAAGTTTTTTTCGCGCAAGCGTGTCACCCAAATTGTTTTTCAGTCCGCCTGAACTGATATATCAAGACAAGTTAGTCAATATTTCATAAATCTAGACATTGGTTGCATTTTTTGTTTTCAGGTTTCAAAACCAGAAACCAATATGACTGTTGTATACATGTTATAAAAAATTTTATTAACTTTTTTCAGGGCCATGCTAACAACCCTCCATGATGCAGAATCTCCTGTCATACCAGTGCTGCCATCTTTCAAACAACAAAAAAGCAAATTATGCAAAGAGGTATATCTAATGAGACCACTGTTAAATCATATCAATCAAGACATAAAATCTTATTTGTGAAGATGGAAGAGGTTGCCTGTTTTTTCATTCATTTCTGGGATCTGGGTACTGAGACCCGGGTGTACTTGTCTCAAAATTGAAAAAAACCCTCACTCAAATCAAGTTCTAGAGATTTTGAGATCAATTTTGATACTAATTAGTGATACTACATGAATTCCATTTTTTAGTCGATGTGTATGCCTCAAGAAACTGAAATGGACAGTGAGTCTGCAGTGCTTGTTTCCATGGAAACTACTGGAATGCGGCTGTTTGGTCAAGCAGAGACAACAGAAGGAAAAAGTAAGGGTTTGGGAGTGTTGCTAGACTGTGAGGGGTCTGATCTTGTTACTAGAACATTTTGTACAATGATGAAATGTAGAATGAAAGCGCTGTTCCCCATCAGTCCAATATTTTATAATTTTTTTACTATATTCTGCCATTTGATTTTGGAGATTAGATATGTGTATTCTGAGAACTCATTCGTTTGAGTCTCTTACGTGAACAGAAAATTGTTGTCAAAGTAAACTATAATTACTGCATTAAGTGAAATATTCATATAAAGATAATTGATACTTTATAGTACTAGTTACTTATTCATAGAAATAAATATTCATATTACTTTTGTACTTTAGGTTATGCTGTAAACAATATAGAACCACCAGCAATGAGCCCTCAACCCGAGACACTCAAAGAGAGAACCACAGATAGAAATGCAATTGAAGCCCTTACATGTAATTCCCCTACCCCAAGTTCACCATTGTGGACATATGACATTGTCCCACCAGTAATACCCAATGATGATGATGAATTAGATAGTGAGGCCCCTATTGCTAAGGGTGAGAACATAAGTGTTTCAACAGCAAGATCTGAGAGAATAGATGACGAAGATGTGGAAAAAAGTGTTTCAACAGCCGAGTCTGACACTAGAGATCAGACACTCCATGAAGATGCAAGTGAACCCAATGTTATCAGACTTAATATTGAACATGAGAAAAAGACTGACCTAAATATCAATCTGAACACTAACATTGAAAGGATTGGTGACTCTGACAACGATTCAGATATTACTACTCTAGAAACCCAGGGAATTAAACCAAGAAGTAAGAATTTAGGCATACATGTATTTGGAAGGCCTAACAGCTGTATGGAAAGAGACTTGGACATCAAAACATTGGAAACCCAGAGAAACAAAGCCAAAATGAATAACCATTTATTTAATAAGATGAGGTGCACTGAAAATGATACAGAATTTGACTCTGATGAGACAAGATTAGAAACTCAGAAAAGTGTTTTAAGAGATCACCACATTAATCGAAACATCGAAACAATTCACCATGTTGAAGATTCAGATGCCACAACACTGGACACTCAACTTCTGCATAGAGCAAAAGCATATGATAACATGGTTCTGAAAGACCAAGGAATTAACACTGATATAGAGGATAACAATGGTATTTATAATGATAGCATTGATAACAATATCTCTACACAAAACTCCACTGTTTCCAGTAACATGAAAATAACACCTACTAGTTTTGACTTCAAATTCACCCAAGATTCTGCTGTATTAAGTAACCATGGTAACAGAAAGGGATCCATAAGCTCTACTGGGTTGGATTTCTCTGATAATGATTCTGATGAAACAAGGTTTGATGCCAGTCAAGTAATAGTGCAACTAGGTGGAAATCACTTGGACGCACAACACCCAGGTACTCCACAGACTTGTACAAATATGAGTGAAAGTTTAATCAGCCAAACAAAGATGGCAGCACTATCCATAAAACAAAGATTCTCAGACAGGCCCAATGAAATCGAAAGAAAAGGTAAAGAAAATCTATGTGTACTACTAAGTCCTAGCCTTGTCCAAGCCAGTATTTATTTACTTATCCTGATCTTGAATTATCATAATAGGAATCAAAATAAGTAAAAGACACCGACTTGGGCAAGGTTACTAAGTCCAAGTGAAGGCAGTTTTGAATTTACTTGACTTTCTCTTGATTAAACTTTATACTGAACTGTGTTTATCAGAGTTCCTCTATTTATGCTTGATGAGTTCGAATCCTCCGATGGGTTGTGTCTCCTCTCTAAAATTGTTTTATACAATTTAATGACCTGTCTTAGCGAACACCTCTCTCAAGTGAAGACCTGTCTCTACTAGTGGATACCCTTCCTCTACACATATTCTACTGACTTCTGTATAAATTATCCTCTCTTTAGTGAACACTTACCAACACTGAATGTTTTTTTTCTTTGCATGACTTATTATTCCATTCCTTACTAACCTAGTTCACTTTTTCTATTCATTAACATTTTCTATTGAGCATGGTTCTCTTGCAGATGGTCAATTATTCCAGACTGGATATCAGCCCAAAGAACTAAAAGATACAGCAGAGCAACATAGGTCTAAAGTAAGCCCAATGACACCAGATGTTGAACTCACCCAATCAAGTGGAACAACTTCCAGGTCAAGAGGGTCATCTGACAGGTCAAGGCCAAAGAAGTCCCAAGGTCAAAGGTCGTCTAATTCCAAAAGTAGATTAGAAGACATGGAGAAAATTGTAAAAGAGGTACTGTATATAATGGATTTTAGAGGTTTAGGTAAAACAGAATTATTCCATACATCTGTGTTGGTTACCTTCTAATCTTTTTTTTATTAAAATCAATGTAACATATTTACAGGTTGTAGCGGCTATGACCCCCAAGAGGGAGTATTAGGTGCCACATAATGGTATTTACAATGATTTGTGAAATATTATAAGAAGTGTACATGTACAAGTAATTGTGTAAAGCATGATATTGTACATAAGCTTTGGTTTTAGACAGAGGATAATTGAAAATTGTTTAAAAAGCAGAAGATTCAAATACTTTTTGTCTTCATTCTATGTTTCAAAAATGTGTAAAAGTAACTTTTGAAATCATAACATACACAATATTGAATGATAAAAATTAATAATTTCATGGGAGCACTGACCATCCTGACTGTCCCATTTTTCAGCGCCATATAAAGAGTATGGGAATCCTGAACAAACTGGAAACCAGACTTTCAAAACTTCAAGCTGCATTTAACACAGGTACATACAAAGGTAAGAAATAAAAATAAGCCTAAATTATTTGTCAGATGTAAGAACAAGAAGAAATCAAGCGAGTCACATGTACAGAAGGGGCCATCTGGAAATTTGGTTAATTTTTTTTTTTAATTTGGGTCCCTTTTTTCAATAAAGCCCATTTTAAAAAATGAGACCTACATTATTTTGAAAATGAGCCTACAGTGTAATTCAGCCCCATCCTTCAGTGTGATACCAGGCCTGTAGCCAGTTTTTGCCAAGGGGATTCACTTTTCAAATAATTCTGGAGGAGGTTAACATATAAAAATTAGAATGGTTAAAAATTGCATAATTGTTAAAGTCCCCGTCTAAAGTTTGAAAATATTTTTTTATCATTCATTTACTATTTGTCAGGACTTAAAAAGTGATTTTAGAGAGTTTTGTACAAAAAAAAATTTTAGAAAAAAAAGTTGTGAGCATTTCATTTCTCAAATATTCAAATTTCCCGCCATTTTTCAAAAAAAGTTGAAATATCTTAATCATCAAATATTTCTTAATGCATTTCAAAAAATATTATCTTTTTAACACCAATGCAAAGGTTGAACAAAGGACACACTATTTCAATAATAAAATGCCATATTAAATGGGCCATTTTAATGTTTTAGCATATCAAAAATATTTTGAAACATTAGTGATGTCACTAAGGTACCAAAAACTTTTTGAAAAAAATTGAAATTTTTTTTTCGATGTCAATCTTTTCTAAATATGTTAGACTTTCATAAAAAACCAATGTTGATTGTCTAACCAGGTTAAAGGGAAAAATAAATTATGTTTTAGATATCATTGTACCATTGGTTTCTATGAGAACTAAAATTTTGAAATGCATTTTTCTCAGAACCATTTTCATGCACTGATAAGTTCATTTCTCGCTTATTTATGAACCGATTTTCTTAATTTTTTCGGCAAAAATCACGGGAGGATGAATGCTATGCATTGGTATGAATTGTGGCTAATTAGAAGATATGAGTGACCTCTAAAAGTTGGTTTTAAATAAATTCACAAATTTTGGAACAAAAAGTCTATCAAAAACCACTTTTTGAAATTTAAAAAAAAAGTTTCACATATCACACTTTGATAACATAGGGTAAGACTACAATTTAAGCCAAAGTGGTTTAAACTTTATATGGGGCCTTTAAAGAATTTTTGGCCAGGTGGGTTCACTCAAAACCTCAAAACTTCTCCTTGGAAACTAGACATCAGCTGAATCCAAGACTTCTTTATTATTCCAGTGGAAGAATTAAAGTGCCAACTGACTTCCATACACTTGACTATAAAGCACATTGGGGCAGCCAACAAAAAGGAACGAGAGGACATCAAAGGAGACACAGATACAAGACCAACTCTTAAGAGACTCCAACTGAAGTTGATGGCAGAGAGACATGGGAAATTAGCTACTGTTGTCAAACAGTTCCAGAAATTGACTTCACAATTGAAAAACAAGGTGAGAAAATATCCGCTTTTGGGGGATATATATACATGTACATTTATTTAGTGAAGACTGAAGAACAAGATCTTGCGACAATTCCTTTTCAGGGCAGTGTACATGTACTCCTTTATAACAATTCCAATATTTCTGTTATTATGTCACCACCAAAAGTTGTGACATAATGTCTCCAACTTATTTCTGGATGGTGTTCAGCAGTTGGTGTTGAGCATTCAGCCTTCAACATCTGTAACAAAGGTGGTGACATTTTGCATGTTAATGCCTTGGAAATAATTGCAACCATTGCAAGAATTACAAAGCTCTTGCTCATGTTATTTTAAATGTTTCAGTCAATTGCTAAACCGGTAGAAAAAGTAGCAGCAATTCCAAGAGGTATTCCTTCAACTAAAGCTGTCATCCATCAAGATGCTGATGTCAAAGCAAATGACAATCAAGCTGAAAACTTTAGCAAAACGAAGAAAATGCAGAGCATTGCAAAAGTGAAAACTTTTATTGCTCCATTTAAAGATACAGGAAAAGATACCCAGAATGTGAATTCAAGTATTCAAACACCCAATGCACAATCATTTGTCACAACAGCACAATTAGATGATATGATGGCACAATCAAGTAATCTGGTAGCACAATCAAATAAACAAGCCAGTATGAAGGTGCAACCAATCACTACATTAGCACAATCAAACAATACCAGTGCACTGTCATTAGCCGCAACAGCAAAACCAGATGCAAGCGCTCACAGATCTGCGCAATCGTTAGATGCACTGGCACAATCCAATGTTGTGACGGTACATCCAATTAAGCAAACAGTACCAACACAATCTAGTGTTACAGTGAACTTACCTACTGGACCTAGGATATTTGATGTGATAGCAAACAACCCTGAGCTATATGAACTGAACTGTTTGACACCAAATAAAATCACCAAAACTAATCTTGTCAGAGCTCCATTGGAGAAAATCAGCCAAACACAATCAACCACAACCATGCCACCAGGAACAACCAGCCAGGTACAATCAATTACAGCTAAGCCAAGTCTGGTACAATCTAATATTATTAATCCAACTGGAACAACCAACCTGGCACAATCAAGCACAACCAAGCCACCAGGAACCATCAACAAACCACAATCTAGCGCAATCAAGCCATCGTTTGGTTCTCCAGAAATAGTGACTCAAAAAAACAATTCAAATCACATGACCAATGTTAAGACCATATTTGGTTCTCCTGATAGTTTGGCATCATCTTACCATGACACAGCACAAGGAACTCAAGGCTCAGTAGCCAAAGTCTTTAAAGCTGCAAAGAAACAGGTGTAGTATTAATATATTTTCAGTCAAAGAACTGTAATCACTGGTGGTCTTGATATTTTTAAAAGTCATTCAACAGGACAGGAGGCAATGTTTTAATTCAGATTTATTGGGAACTAAACATGGGAAAAACTAGGTGATGATGAAATTCAATTTCCATTTTCAGTGTGTTATGTCTTCAAGAGCTGCTACATTGAATGAAAGAGTACAACCAATCACAACGAAGACATCTGCTGTAACAACACCCCAACATCCAATAGCTCCATCTATACAGTGCATTAACAAAGTGTCCAAAACCACTCATATACCAACTTCTAACACTATCATTTCAAATCAATTCAAAATTCCTAACATTTCCAAACCAAACCTGCCACAAGCTACGCCTGTTACCATGACAACACAGAATGACATCATAATAATGGAAGAACCTGGGATTACTCCTTTTAGTAAAGTTGGGCAGAAGATAGATGGCAGCAAGCGCTCTAATTCAAATTCAAAGTTGTACCCTGATCTACAAGAGTTGTTAAAGTATGAGGTCATTTCCAAAGGACAGAATGTACTGTCTTTAGAAGTGAAGGTGAGTCGTTATGCTTGTTATTTAGAGCTGACATGCCAATATGATTGCTGAATATGGTTTGGATTCAATTGACCATGCAGATCAGGAGCCAGCTTTTGCCAAGAGGGAGGGGGGGGGGGTCAGTTTTTAAAAAATTCCAGGGGATTTAATTTTGACAATTTTGGCACAGTCAACAATCAAGTGCTCAACATGGTGAAAAGCTGCATGATTTTGAAAGAATTCATGGCCAGGTGGAGGGTTGCTTCGGCCACGGCCTGAGAAACCTATATAAATGGAAAGCTCTGTGATAATAATCCTCCAGTTATAAAACACTTTATGTACCACTTGTTCCTTTATAGATTCCCCATTAAAATAGCTCTTGGGTGAGTCAATACTTTAAAACACCACCAAGAAACATTGAATTTGCAGTTTTGATGAACACTAACCAAAGATATTATGTCACCATCCAGCTAAACTGGTGACATGTTGCTTATATAGTCTCCGTTTTTGTGAGTGGTGTTGTGTGGTTGGTGTTTAGAGTTCGGTGTCTGTAATAAATGGCAGGTAGTGACATTTTGCATGTTAATGCCTTGTACTTATGTTTTTTAGGGTAATACTTCACTTGAAGACTCTGGAATCCTACGTGGGGCAGGAGGAGAGATGTTCAAGACTCCCATGCAATGGTGCACAGCATTGATGTCCACATCTGCCAGTGTTGGTTGCATCAAGAGACAACAGGCCTATCAGCGTGTAAGAACTTGTATTCCTCTTTCTGTCCACCTATTCAACAGTTCATGGACATTTCGGCAGAATTGGTTACTAGTACTTTATTTCTTCTTTTTCCTCGAAGTGTTTCAGCACATTTTACATTTACATATTAAAACATGAAATCTTGATCTTTAGCCAGAACAATCCAAACCAAGCCTGAATTTACCAATTTTGTTATATGAGTCTTCATGATCTTTATTACAGGTATGCTATAAGGGGAGGCCTCTTTCATCATTTAGAGTACCAGACATGGGTATTTCCGAACCTGAACAACATAAATCTGTATATGAACAATCAAGGCCTGGATATGAACAATCAAAACCTGGATATGAACAATCAAGGCCCGGATATGAACAACCTAAACCTGCATATGAACAATCAAGGCCTGAATATGAACAATCAAACCCTGGGCAATTCAAAGGTCAACAACCCAAATCACTAGTTACACAGAAACAATGCATTACCACACTGGGTGCAAGTAATGTATCAATTAACACACAAAGAACAGGCCAAGTGCAGTCAGTTTTATCTGAACCAGTGGATGAAGCACACTGTTTAACATGGTGTAAGGTGCGTCTTATAAGCAATGCAGAATTAAACCCATCAAATCAGTGGCTGCCAAACAACTTTTGGTCTTCTACTGGGTTTAAAGATGTGGAGTTTTCTGGAGATTTTATGTCAAAATATATTGAAACAATTGATATCTGGTGAAATATGATGTCACAGTTTACAGGTTTATTGTGGGTGAAATATGATGTCACAGTTTACAGGTTTATTGTGGGTGAAATATGATGTCACAGTTTACAGGTTTATTGTGGGTGAAATATGATGTCACAGTTTACAGGTTTATTGTGGGTGAAATATGATGTCACAGTTTACAGGTTTATTGTGGGTGAAATATGATGTCACAGTTTACAGGTTTATTGTGGGTGAAATATGATGTCACAGTTTACAGGTTTATTGTGGATGAAATATGAGTTAATTGTTGGTGATGTGCAACATTGCAATTTATGGTTGATGTAACACAATTGTGGGTGCGGTATTACATTATAATTGATTGTTGGTGGTGACATGTTGTCACAATTGATGATTTTATCATTATTTTCTGAGATGCTTAAAACATTATTAAATTCCGTCTAAGTAAATTATAGTGTCAAGATATACCAGTTACAAGGAAATATTATTTCAGTCAGTTTTTTATGTTTTATGTTATGAAAACCATATGACACATATGACCATTTTTTCATGAATTGTCATTTTCTTGAATTTTTTCTATATTTTTGTTAGTAATGTTATTCTTTTAACATTTACAATGTACAATGTTGTTGTAAAGTTGCAAATTAAAATATCAAAGTTAGAAAGATAAAATAATAATTTGATTAATTGTTCATTGATTTATTGAAAATTATATAAAAGGAAGTAGAAGGAACATAGAGATGAGTTGGGAGTAATTTCAAAAATGTCACATTTTTTCTCATTATTCCATGTATCTAGTCCAACAATTCGACTTATTAGCCTAATCTGTCAAAGGATTGGTATCGATATGGAGAACTGAATTCAACAATGTTTTTCTCTTAAATCAATCATTAAAAACATTCTGTAAAAAAACACGGTCCTTTATGTAATGTTGACTGATTGACAACCATTTAATGCGAAAATTATTTAGAAATATTTTATATAACTGTTTTTGCTAACATTTTTTTGTTTTTCTAGTGCAATTGTTTATGCTCCTTTCTACCAATTCTTGAGAATGAAATAAAATATCTTTCCGAACCTTGTTGGAACAAAATACCATATACAACATGTTTTTAGACCTCTCGATATTCTAGTTATACAAAGGAATTTTTGGTTGATTTTAAAAAAGTATTCAAAAAATTAAAACAAAATCCCCCCAAAATAGATAAAAATCAAGATAAACCTTTTATTTCATTAACAAGGTACTTTTTTAAAATCAACCAAAATCTCCTTTGTACAATTACAATATTAAGAGACCTAAACATGTTGTGTTTATATCGTTTTGTTCCAATGAGGTTCGGAAAGATGTTTCATTTCAATCTGGAAACATGATACCAAGAACAAAACAAGTGTTTGATGTGTTTTTTAAAACAATATAGATGAAATTATATATATATTTTTCAAATTATATTGCTACCATTCAAAAGATGACCATTAAATTGACAATGTGTAAAATTTTCAGAATTTTTGATGACTGGTTTAAGAGAAACATGTGTTCAAAAAGTTCGCCGTATCGATACCCATCTTTTAAAGTTTTCTGGCCAAAACGGGGAACTTTCTGCATTTTAATATTCAATACAGGGTTCTCACCAGGAAATTTTTAGACTCTGGATTTTTAGCGGTATTGTGACTACTTTTTTCGCTGTATCGCGACTATTTGTATACTTTTCAACATGACTCTTAAGATTATCTTGCTATTTTAAACTCAATATTTATGACTTCCTATTTCTTGTTTGTATCCAGTTTTATGTATTTTCTCAAGTGTTTTACCTCAAATAATGTGAGAAAAGTATAAAATTAGACTCCGGAAAAAACACTTTAGACTCCGGAAAAGCTATTAGACTCTGAAGCAAGAGGGTTTTAAGACATTAGACTCCCAAGAATCTCCTGAGTCTAAAAGCCTAGTGAAAACCCTGCAATAACTTCTATGTTTGATAAGATGTCTCAATTCTTTTTAAAGTAGAATTGTAAGGGAAACATTTGAATGCTTTTTGAAGATTGCTCCCAACACTTTGCACTCTCTCATCTCCTTAAAATCTAAAGGATGTCAGTACTCAAATACAAGCTTTTAAATCATAAATTATTTATTTCATAAAAGTGAACATAAATGCAATGACCAGTGAACTAGCCCTGGTTCAGTAATTGCACCAAATCATGTCTAATGTGACAATGTCTGTCTGTGAAAGTGAACAACGAGCAATGAATGACTCAAGTCAGTGAAAGTCCATTTGGCAGTTCAATGACAAAATCCTTCCTATTATATATTGATCACCTTAACATAAAAGGATGGGTTGTTCATATATTTTGACAAAAATAGGTACCAGTTATAGTAGGATTAAGCATTCTGTTAAGAAAAAACTGGGGAGATCACTGCAAGTGTATTCCAGTTCTCCAGTTATACACACATATATCCTTTGAGCATATTGTTTCTGATCAATCAGATCATTAAATCATGGTTTACTCTTAGGACTCCAACACAAGGAATATTTCCATTTTCTCTTCAGCTCTTTAGCATTGTTAGGTGTAGATTTCTTACATTTTCATTGCATTCCTTGTCTTTGGCCTGAAAGAAAATTTACAAAATATTTAAATACATAATGATTATATTAAAAGCTTGATTAATTAATTTTGTATCTGGAGTTTTGGGTAATATTACAAAACATTTCATTTTTGATTCTGAATTTCACCCTTCATGATTAATTTAGAATTTTTTACATTGGGAAAATAATTAATTCACCAAAATTTCTGTCTCAGACCATCAAAATCAGTGAAAGGTTTTACAAATCAGGTTTTCAGTGTGGAGAAGTACATTGGATGTATACTGGTATACAGCCTTTTCTCTGTGAAAAAAAAGCTATCATTGAACATTTGAGAAACAGTTCATCACAATTATGTAAGGACCATTCAGTTGCAATGCTAAGAGTAAGTCTGAATTAAATTGTAGGCCTATTGGCATTTTGAACAAAGCATTAACATGCTAATGTCACCACCTGCCATTTGTTACAGATGCCAAATGCCAACTACCGAATGCTGAATACCACCTGTTGAACACCATCCACAAAAGAGTGGGAGGCCATCACCATATGTCACAAATTGTGGTGGTGACTTAACAATATGTCACCACTTGTGGTGGTGACATAATTTCTACATGTAGAACATGATGTGAATGTGTGTGAAGGGGTGTGAAAGGTAGTGCATGTAGAACTTGAAAATGGCAACTTTCAAAATTTAACCCCAGAAATACAATAACACTAATACTTATTACATTAGAAATGATGACTTTCCATTTTTGTGGAAAATCCTCATCATTTTTAAAGATATTTATCCATATACATTTTGCACCAAATATGAAGAAAATCTATATACTAGTCTTGGATTTATTCTCCCAATAGACACAGCTAGCAGGACGTTATCCCAATATATATGGACCTTCATTCATTAGGATAATTAGTGAATGGATCACATTTAGGTGATGACATAAGACAATGTGAACGCCAATATCCTTCAGATGTCAATGTCATTCAGATGTCAATATCCTTCAGATGTCATTCAGATGTCAATATCCTTCAGATGTCAATGTCATTCAGATGTCAATATCCTTCAGATGTCAATGTCATTCAGATGTCAATGTCATTCAGATGTCAATGAGGCTTTTCTCATGATATCAGGCCAAAGCAGAAATTGTTTTCATACCTGTCAACCATTTGCTAATAAAAAAGGAGCATTATTTTAACATGTTTAAGGTATCTTTTTAGAATATTTTTACAGGAAACAAGAAAAGTATGGAGTTTTTATTAAATAAGGTGAAAATGGAGACACAGGAATATGACATATAACATGAAAATCAGAACTTTATCATATAATTTGAGAAACACCACTTTCTGACTATAGAATACAGAATCAACCCAAATGCTCAGATTTCCCAAAATTAGGAGACATCATGATTTAAAGGGGGAGGGGGGTTGGCAGGTATGTTATATTATTGACATTTATATGATGACCTCACACATATAAAACATGCATCGAGTGTGTGTGTGCATCTGTGTTAGTGTTAATAAATGTTCATACCACACACTACATAGGCCTCCAGGCTTTATATCTGAGAAAATATTAAGAGAAAAAAGAAAGTATTATATAAGTAGAATATTCATAAGAACTGAAAACTTTCAAGGCAAGTTTAACATTTTGCATGGATGTGTGACAATTTCAAGAAGTTGCAATGCAAATGTTTTTTGTGAAATTATGTTTCATAAACACATCCATGGAATTAGTTGAACAATTATTTCAAGGTTAAATAGAAATCTTAAAAATGTGTCAGTCTGACATCTCTTCAAATTATATATTAAAGAAATGTACAAGTGAGCATGTTAAATACATTTAAAAAGAGATGATTTTTACAAAAGACAAAATAAATATCTGATTACTGTTTTATCACATGAATACAGCCTAGTCTGAGTGGTGACCTTCCACCCCTTTTAGGACATTATTCAATACTGATAACTCACCTGATCTGAGTTGGGTTATTTGGTTTGAGGGGTGCCAGGTTGACCTGCTTCCATTGGGCCTCGATTTTAGAGTAAAGACCTCCCATGAAGTCACGGGAACGGTTTTTCTCCATTTTATCACCATTTATGGACATTCGGAATTTCGTGAGATACGTCATAATTTCTTTAAATCGCCTGTCATCTGAAATCAAATACAAAATATCCTGAATATATATGGTAGATATTTGTAATTTGGATTCCAACTTAACCTCTTGAATATCAGGCTCTAAAATCAAAGATCATTTCTACACATTTTAAAACAATTTTTGTGTAAATTGGATGAAAATTGTTCAAATAAAAGCAATTTTAGTGAAACATTTTGTGACGGATTTTCTCGTCACTCTTGGTTTCAAGGTCATTTCTTAGGTGACGAGAAATCTCATCACTCCAGGTAGTCAAGAGGTTAAACAGAATAAGGTGATCCTAGTTGAATGACATTTGAACCTGAGATATAAAGCAATTATTTCTGAATGAATAAACAAACTGTCAGAGGCCCTGTTCAAAATGAACCAATTAACGATCTAACCAACCAACCAACAGACCAACCAAAACGTCAAATTTTCAATGAACATTTTCAGATATTTTGATTTGAAGAGCCATCTTGAATGAATGTCCAATTTTAAAAAACTTCCACAAAAATGTTTCCCCCTTTAATTGACTTTTTGATCAGTTGAACTCAACTGGGAGTACAGTATCGAACAATTTTTGACAGCTATATAGGATTGGTATGCCAGTTGTACTAATCAAATATTAAAAACAATAATTAAAGGAGTTGCGATTATAAGCCAAAGGGGATAAGGTGAGGTTTGTAAACAGCCAGAGGGGGCCCAGAGGCAAAGTGAACAGTATATAAGGCTGGTGCTCATCTCAGTTAATCATTGAATCATCTCAACTGACTCGAGGTAAGTTAATAAAACAGCTAAATTAATTGATTAATCAAATATACAATATGCAATATAGGTTTCAATCTAAAACTACTTTGGTCGATTGTATTTCATATCTTGGGATTGCAAGATTGCATCAGATTAGCCAAAGCCTTGCATAACGTAATCTCCATTTTATGCTTGATCTATTTCACTCTGAGGTGTACAATATGGTAATATATAATTACAATGGAACGATATGCAGACATGTACATTTTGGTAATAGCACAATCAGTTCAAGTTTTACCTTGTAGACCAATGTATTTTTATTATTTGATCATTAAATTTTTGATTTTAAGAATCATGAACGGAATTGCTGTTGTTATCCTCGCCTTGTGTGCCGCAGCTATGGCTGCACCAAGCCACCATGGTCACCATGGCAACCACCATGGTCATGGATATGGTGAGTCAATAAGCTTCATATGTTAGGAATATGAAGATAATTGAATGCACATTTCAAACCTCTTAAATATTCAAATCAAATTAAAATGGCTTTCCAATAAGTAATAACCATTTTAAAAAAAAAACACCATTTGAAATTATTTCGTTTTGCAGGACATGGTGATGAGAACCGTGATGGAGTTCCAGATGCTCTTGATGCTAACCGTGATGGCAAAGTAGATTCCTACGCTCACGGACACCACGCTCATGGACACCATGCTCACGGACACCACGCTCATGGACACCACGCTCATGGACATCACGCTCATGGACACCATGCTCATGGACACCACGCTCACGGACACCACGTATACGCTGATGAGAACCGTGATGGAGTTCCAGATGCTCTTGATGCTAACCGTGATGGCAAAGTAGATTCTTACGCTCACGGACACCACGCTCACGGACACCACGCTCATGGACATGTTGCCCACCACTCCACCAGCTATGGCCATCATGGACATCATGATTCTCATCATCATTAAACCACAGCTTGAACTACACAGGTGAGACCAATGGCATGACACATCAATAATATAAACCCAACACAGATTCACCTTAGTAACCTCAATGGGTGACTTTCCATTGAGTAATGAAAAAATTAATGAGAGATCACCTTGATATATTGCACTTGTCTTTACCATGAAAATAGCATACTAAAACTGCAGTATGAGCCTATTTATAGTAACATTTTTATCAAAAATTACCCCGGGATTTGGTGGGAGGGGTATTTGCGATTTTTGCGGCCATTCTAGTGGACCAGAAGAATGGCTCTGGTGCAACACATATTTCCAATAGCTTTGTTGTAAATTGTTTCAATTTTGTAATTCTCTTTTCAGGACCTTCCAGGGATGCATCTAAGTACACTCGTCTTAGGGATCATTAGGAAGCTACTGTGAAATATACTGTTACTTATTCAACAAATGTTTTTACAATAAATGACCTGATATTGTGAATCAACATGATATGTTTTGTTATTGAAAGTATGTAATGATAGACGATGGGTAATATGCACCTCTAACTTGAGAAATTGTATATTTACGATATTCATAATCATGATAACGCTGCACATGGCTATATCCTACTACACCAAACATAACACCAGTAAAAAGTACATGTAGAACAAAGATTACATATTTACAAGATTTGGCAGCCATTTTGAATTCAGCAGCCATCTTGAATATGGCATGAGTTAGAAGGCCTATAAGATTTTTCACAATTTTACAGGACTCTATTCAAGATCCTCTCATGTCACATTGGTACATACCTTCTTCTCTTTGGGAGTCCTGGTTCCACCTTATTGACCTGGTGATGTCCCATCTATCTGCTTTGTTACCTCTGAAACACATAAATGAAAAAATCACAGACCTGTAGTCAAGAAGGATTCAACCGGCCCCCACCCCCTCCAGCCAAATTTTTTTTCAAATATAATGCAGTTTTGGCTCACATAGTGAGCTATGGGATCAACTAGCTTTTCAACATTTTGAGAAATTTTCAGGTGGTTTTGGGCCAAAATTGTCAAATTTTAACCATTACCCCCCTGGAATTTTTTAAAACTGACCCCCTGTAACATCCATATCTCATGTATCTTTAAACATGTAATGACTACATGTATGTATCAAGGAAGTTATCTTGAATAATGTAAAGGTATATATTGTGCTTAAATCATGCTTACATGTATTTGATAAAATTTCAAGATTAGGGCCATTTAATATAGTTTATAAGCCATTTGATTTAAGCGGCCAGGGACCTAAACATTTTGTCATTTTTTCTAAAAACTATTTTCTTCAGTATATAATTTTAGACCACTAAGGTTTGTAGTCTAAGGGGAAAGAGTGCCTTCAAGATAATCTAATAATTTGCCCCTTATGCACATGATTTAATTATGATTTTCCTGTTTCAAAAGAAAGAAACAAAAACATATCTGAAATTTTTTAATATGTAAAATATGTAAGAAACATTATGATGCTGTCCCCAGCTCCGATTTCGGTGATCGGCTAGTATAAAAGGTTTGAGGGTATCATTTTGTTCCAGACACTCTCTAGAGTAAATTATCCTAACTTGAGTAAAAATGTGTGGTAAGTAAATTCGCTATGGGCAGTTAAAGAGGCGCCATCTATTCATTTTTAAACAGGGGGTAGGGGTATAAAATAATTTTTAACACATTTTAATAGTAAAGTGACATTGAAATACTAATAAAATCTTATCAAAAACATTATTTACAATCAGTATGAATTTTCTTGTGTGGATTAGGGTGAAAATAAGGGCATATCTTGAAATTCACTACAGGGGCGCCACCTATTTTCATACTTCTACCACGTGTAATAACTTATTTTTGATTCGTTAAGGTACGAAATGTACTTAAAAAATTCATTCTGAAGGACCTATATGTTCATATCACATACTTAAAATTGGATCAATAGCTTTTGTACTGGCGGAGAAAAAAATTATTGAAATTTAAAATTGTGGCATCATGCAGGATAGGGGTGACCATATCTCACATTATTAACTTCCAAAATATGGAGCATATGTATCTCAAATGTACTCAAAATGGTGTATGTACTCTTGCTTTGTCATAATATTACTAATAAGAAGTAGAAAAATGATTGTACATTTTAAAAAATATTAATTCTCATTTTGGCTTCTGACGTCCCAGGGTTGACCATATCTCACCTTAATAACTTCCAAAATATGGAGCATATGTAACTCAAATGTACTCAAAATGGTGTATGTACTCTTGCTTTGTCATAATATTACTAATAAGAAGAAGAAAAATGATTGTACATTTAAAAAAATATTAATTCTCATTTTGGCTTCTGACGTCCCAAGGGTGACCATATCTCACCTTAATAACTTCCAAAAAATGGAGCATATGTATCTCAAATGTACTCAAAATGGTGTATGTACTCTTGCTTTGTCATAATATTACTAATAAGAAGTAGAAAAATGATTGTACATTTTAAAAAATATTAATTCTCATTTTGGCTTCTGACGTCCCAGGGATGACCATATCTCACCTTAATAACTTCCAAAATATGGAGCATATGTATCTCAAATGTACTCAAAATGGTGTATGTACTCTTGCTTTGTCATAATATTACTAATAAGAAGTAAATAAGAAGTAAAAAAAATGATTGTACATTTGAAATAATATTAATTCTCATTTTGGCTTCTGACGTCCCAGGGGTGACCATATCTCACCTTAATATAATAACTTCCAAAATATGGAGCATATATCTCACATGTGCTCAAAATGGTGAATGTACTCTTGCTTTGTCATAATATTACTAATAAGAAGTAAAAAAATAATTGTACATTTAAAATAATATTGATTCTCATTTTGGCTTCTGACATCCCAGGGTCGACCATATCTCACCTTAATAACTTCCAAAATATGGAGCATATGTATCTCAAATGTACTCAAAAAGGTGTATGCACTCTTGCCTTGTCATAATATTACTATAATAAGAAGTAGAAAAATAATTATACATTTCAAAAATTTTAATTTTAGCTTCTTACGTTCCTGGGTAATCATATTGCACCATATAATAATAATAATAACTTCTAAGATATGTAACATATAATCCTCAAATATTCTCAGAAAAGTCCTGTCTTTTTCATATTACTAATGAAATGTAGAAAAATGATTGCATTTTTTTTAAAATTTTAATTTTAGCCTCTGGTGTGCCAGGGGCTATCTCACCTTGATAAATCTCACGATGCAACATATGCATCTCAAATGTGTGCTAAAAATGGTCTTGTTTTGTCATATTTATTGAGAATCATGAAATCAACAGTTCAGAATCAATGGGTTTTGACTGTCTCCTCTACAGCTACATATAATTCAGGGCAAATAATATCTGCTTTCAAATATTTGCATCTGCTCCCCAAACACCCTTTACAAGTACAATGGATGAGATTATTCCCTTGCGTACATTGGACCCAACATCTTTTGTAATCCATACAGGAATCCTTTTAGCCTGTCAATAGTGGGAGTACTTTGCTCCATTTATGAAGTAATGGCAACTTCTAATGTAAGGTGTTAATATGTTATCCTGTGGCCTGCAATATATGCACCTTGGATTATACACTGAATTAAGGGATTTTGAGTATGTAAAATATGGGAAAAGGAGCTCTTTGTAATGATAAATCTTTCTAGCCACATTAACATTCTCTAGTTTGCATGTTTGTCATACAACATACATTGATTGTAATGAAATATTAATCTATGATTGTGATGTCCCACACTTCTAGGGTCCCAAAGAAGAGATAAGGTTTTGGAACAATTGCATTATTCTTGGCACAGTAGGCCATATAGTGAATACAATTGTTGAGATTGGGCAATAACAATATAGCACAACATGACAAACCATGCAAACTAGAGAATGTCAATCAGGATTAGAAGTGACTTATCGCCCTTGTAATTTATCAGTGGGACAGTTTGGTGTATGTTTGGGCATAAATGCGCCTTTTAGGCTTAATTTTTCAGGATGTTTTCAAAATTTCGGGTCAGATTTGGGGTTAAGGGGCCAATTTTTGTAAATGAGGCTAGGCTACTCACACTACTGATAGTATACAAAAGATGTTGCATCCAAGGCATGCAAAAGACTTATCGTCCATTGTTCCTGTAATATAAGGAGTGTTTGGGGAGAAGATGCAAATATTTGAAAGTACATGTAGATCTTATTGTCTCTGGGCTATATGTAGCTGCACCCTTCAGGGGAGACAGTCAAATCCATAAATTCTGAACTTCTGATTTCATGAATCCAATAAATATGACAAAACAAGACTATATTTATACCATTTTGGGCACGCATTTGAGATGCATATGTTGCATATCGTGAGAGTTACGAGTATATCAAAGTGAGATATAATTGCCACTGGGATGTCAAATTCGGAAGCTAAAATGAAAATTTCAATTAAAAAAAGGTGTAATAATTTTTTTACATCTCATGAATAGCATTATGACAAAGCAAGACTAAATGCCCCATTTTTGGTATATTTGAGTTGTATATGTTACATAATATTAGAAGTTATTCAGGGACGTAAGAAGCTAAAATTAAAATTTTTTAAATGTATAATCATTTTCCTACTTCTTATTAGTATAATATTATGACAAAGCAAGAGTACATACACCATTTTGAGTACATTTGAGATACATATGCTCCATATTTTGGAAGTTATTAAGGTGAGATATGGTCGACCCTGGGATGTCAGAAGCCAAAATGAGAATTAATATTTTTAAAAATGAGCAATCATTTTCCTACATCTTATTAGTAATATTATGACAAGACAAGACAATATACACCATTTTGTGCATATTTGAGATACAAATGCTCCATATTTTGGAAGTTATTAAGGTGAGATATGGTCACCCCTGGAACGTCAGAAGCCAAAATGAGAATTAATATTTTTTAAAATGTACAATCATTTTTTTACTTCTTATTAGTAATATTATGACAAAGCAAGAGTGCATACACCATTTTGAGCACATTTGAGATACATATGCTCCATATTTTAGAAGTTATCAAGGTGAGATATGGTCACCCCTGGGACGTCAGAAGCCAAAATGAGAATTAATATTTTTTGAAATTGTACAATCATTTTTCTACTTCTTATTAGTAATATTATGACAAAGCAAGAGTACATACACCATTATGAGTACATTTGAGATACATATGCTCCATATTTTGGAAGTTAATCATGTGAGATATGGTCACCCCTATCCTGCATGATGCCACAATTTTAAATTTCAATAATTTTTTTCTCCCCCGGTACAAAAGCTATTGATCCAATTTTAAGTATGTGGTATGAACCTATATATAGGTCCTTTAGAAAGATTTTTTTCAGTACATTTCGTACCTTAACGAATCTAAAATAAGTTATTACATGTGGTAGAAGTACGAAAATAGGTGGCGCCCCTGTAGTGAATTTCAAGATATGCCCTTATTTTCACCCTAATCCACACAAGAAAATTCATACTGATTGTAAATAATGTTTTTGATAAGATTTTATTAGTATTTCAATGTCATTTTACTATTAAAATGTGTTAAAAATTATTTTATACCCCTACCCCCTGTTTGAAAATGAATAGATGGCGCCTCTTTAACTGCCCATAGCGAATTTACTTACCACACATTTTTACTCAAGTTAGGATAATTTACTCTAGTGAGTGTCTGGAACAAAATGATACCCTCAAACCTTTTATACTAGCCGATCACCGAAATCGGAGCTGGGGACAGCACTATTAGCATTATCGATTGAGAAAATGTATCTTGAAACTGCTTAGACACTAGATTTGTATTAATGTATAGATGTTTATCTTTGAAAATGTTATGCCTTTGCATATCTTCTACAACTCACCCAAATGTTGGTGGCTCAACAAGAATTGCCTTTGGTTCTATTACTACTGAAATAGTTCTAGACCTTGGTGATGCTCTCGGGGTAACCTCTGGTGCCTTACATTGCTCAGCTACTGCCCCATGGGGCAATATGTGCTGCTTAATCAGTGGCTCCAGCTTTGGTTGCTAAATAAGATGTGTCTTGAATTATGTACCATAGACATTAATTTATGTGAGTTCTCATGATTTGCAATTCATAAAACATTGAGTGAATAAATATTGGTCATTGTAGTTTTAGTAAATAAAACTTTATAGATGCCAGAGACATGTCTCTGTAGATACCAAAACAGAAGATGCCATTAAGTTTCAAAGTAAGAAAAATGTAGCATTGCTACTTACTATAAGTATTAACACTTTTCTTAAAAGCATATTGCAGGGTAAAAATACAGTACAAAGTTCAATATTTTCGCCCTATACATGTAATTGTTATATTCAAAGTGCCTTCTAAAAGCTTATTTACTAAAGCACTTTGCTAATTTCCTTATCTACTCTATTTATAAGGGCCATTCAAAAGGTTCTGCACTCTAACATTTTGGAAAAAGAAAACAAGTGATGTATAAATACATTAGAAACACAACATGACAATTGTTTGACACACTCACCTGCGACAACGATTCATCAACTGATGTGTCAGACTTTTTAGTAAAACTCTCAGATTTCCGAAGTCCATGAGCTATTTCCTCATCAGCAAATACATCAAGCTCACTGTTGCTGTAGAAAATAAAGAAACAAGGTGCCACCTGCCATTTTTTACAACATAGCTTCAAACACCAACCATCAAATATCCACCAAGACTAATTTATAACGATATGTTGCCACTTCTGTTAGTAGCACCTTAAATAGCACAACTGTAAAACGATTCTGATGCACTTTCTGATGTCCTAGTTTTTGTTAATTTTTTGGATATGTCATTTGGTAGGACTAGGCTAATTGTAATTTCTTTATATTTTTTGGTACTTCATGATTAATATTAGTGTTTATCACTTTATCGATGGTCTTGTTTCTGTTTGAAAAATTAGTTGTGTTGTTTTTATTACATTAGTGTTATTCTTGTAAGTTAATTAATTTGAATTTTAAACAAAAATTGTTCATAAAAAATATTACTTCTGATGTTCCTTGCCAATTCCCCTGAATTTTCACATTTTAAAAAGCATGGTCCTCTTGACAGTCTTCTCGTTGATCTTACCTCATTAAAGTAAACTTTTGGTAAGGAACACATATGGTTTCCCTGTGCCTGAGTAAGTCTTCATAGACTTGGTTTTGTATTGATGGTATCTTCACTGGGTTCTCTTCTTCACTCTCTGTGTTCACACTTATTACATGGTCCCTAACTTTACACCCCTGGAATGCAATTGGAAACCCCACATGTAACACAGTAACACATTTTTAAGATCAAATGCCTGAATGGCAATTAAATGCAACATTTCGGATGATCTCTTTACCCATAGTACTTGACATTCTAAAATGCATATCTACTTATTCAAAAACTTAGTCGAAGATTCTTTTTTATTATCTATTCTTCAATATACATGTACATCTCCACCAGTTTTGCCCAATTCGCCAAATTAAATTGCGCCAAATTGAGTTGACTAAGAGTATCTATTTTTCAATATACATGTGTATATATTCTATGTTGTATTAGACTCTGAACATACCTTATTTATTTGTGTTGGGTCAAAGCGCATTGTTTTCTGCCCACAACAAGAGTGTTCCCCAAGTGCCCCTTTACCCAGGTTATTGTCATATTTAGCTGGCTCAGAGTGGTAGCGACAGTGCCCTAGCTCACTGCATGGAAATGTCTGCAAATAAAATCAAATTATATTTTACTTTTCTGCCCACTGCAAGAGTGTTCCCCCAGTGCCCCTTAACCCAGATTATTGTCATATTCAGCCAGCTCAGAGTGGTAGCGACAGTGCCCTAGCTCACTGCATGGGAATGTGCCATTACAGTAAAACCTGTATATCTGATCACCTCTCTAATCCAAACACCTCTCAATGTGAACACCAGTGCAAATCCGAACACCTAGTCCCAGAGGCGTTCGTAACAGGCAGGCTGTACTGTATATTTTGTGTTAAGCCCTTGTGTACCCCCATAACACACTTTTCCTACTGAGATAGTGAGAGGGAGGAAGGAGGCAGAAACTTGATGCCAAGTCCTCTATGTCTGATTATTTTTTTCCCCTCTATTCTCACAAAGATTTCAGTGGTATATCTGATTTTCTTGCATTTATATTTTGGAGTATAGTACAATACAGATGACTGGATTTTTAATATTTCTTAGAAAAATAATTCTTTTTAATGATCATTCAGAAAACATTATATGTTTCAACATTCAGGCAAGGGATGATTATTAGTTTTAAAATATTAAAGGTTCAAGTGTTTATTTTAAAGTGCTGTAAAACGGGTATTGTTAGCGAGGGGTAATTGTTAGCGATTGTTAGCGATCGCTATAGTTTCGCTAAAAATTCAATTCGCTAAAATAAACCGGGGTTAAAATAAACCGGGCGCTAAAATTTGCAAATTCCCGGGAAACTACATGAATACTAGTATTTAAGGAGCTTTTCGTTCAGTGCTCGACTTCCGGTTTGTAATTTGAAAAAGGTAAATATTTTTAAATCGTATGTTTCTTTCAATCTTTCGTGATTTTGTGATTAGTCAGATGATATTACAGTAGTCTGGACCAATACCATTGCGTTAGAAGTCTTACAATTTGATAATTCCTCTGTCATGTCCGTTATTCATTCTTCTGCCATAAATGATAAAATTTCTAATGCATTTCGCTAATTTGATTTTTTAAAGATTAATCTTCATTTCGCTAAAATTTCCCGCGCTAAAACCCCCTAAAATTGAAAATCGCTAAAATTTCCCGGTGTCAAAATTACCCGTTTTACAGTATATACCAATCTCCTTTACCTCTTTGCATCTTATACATGTGAGACAATTAATAGTTCCCCAAAGTCGCCAATAGACATCTCTCCAAGACTTAAGCTGATTCTTCAGGTCTATCAGGAAATCGTTCACATCCCAAGATGCATCAGGAATGTGACTGTATTTCAATTGACCGAGTCTGTCTATTGTCATCCTTCAAACAAACAAGAAACATTTCACTGACAGATTTTTATTTAAGCAAAAAAACATTATGCATATAAAGAAACAAGTTTCAACAATATCATTAAAATAGATTTGGACAAGACCCCTTTCGAGTGAAAGATTAGTCTTAATAGAATTAATCCCATTTTGATGATACAAGTTTTGCTCACATTGCATTTTAGATCATAGGGAACACACCTGCTCTATGAACATTGCACTTTGGATTGCAGGGAACTTACCTGCTTTGAGAACATTGCACTTTAGATTGCAGGGAACTCACCTGCTTTGTGAACATTGCACTTTGGATTGCAGGGAACTTACCTGCTTTGTGAACATTGCACTTTGGATTGCAGGGAACTTACCTGCTTTGTGAACATTGCACTTTGGATTGCAGGGAACTCACCTGCTTTGTGAACATTGCACTTTGGATTGCATGGAACTCACCTGCTTTGTGAACATTGCACCTTGGATTGCATGGACTTGGTTAGAAGTTTCTTGCAGAGACTACACTTGTAGAGACTTGTCGCTTTATCAGTGGAGTCGGACACTGTAGCATTCTCATCAAATAATTTCTCAATTTTCTTCATGAACAGCTTACTGGAAGAAATAGCTAGAACATCAATACATGGTGATGCTCATTCAATGAGTGGCATATCTCTTCAATTTGAATAAAGTTTCATCTCATTGTCATGTCAATAAACTGTTTTAACAACTTTTGTGACTCTTTACAGGTCACATCATCAGTACATAATCTAAGAAGTCTTCCTTGCTTTAATTTCATAAGCAAAAAATAGAAAATGCTGTTAATGGATTTACTAACATGAAAACATGAATATGTAATTTAAAATATCAACGAGGTTACAGTTCTACCTCTTGAATTTATCTTTTCGGTCTTTGACATCATCAGCTTCATTATGGGTAAACAGTGCAGCTATTCTTGTGACAAGTTTATCATTGATGCAGTTCATATTACACGGGGTAGCAACAATGGCAGACATATTTTCATGGCAGAAAACTATACACTCCTCAACCAGTCTGTCCATCTTCAGGAAGTCAGATGATATCAGAATTGAGATCACATTACCTGCCTCTGGAAAATATAGGTGGTCAAGAGCTGTCATCACAATGCTATAAGTTTTAGTTCGATATAAAGATGGCAGAAGTGTTGTTGTATAGACTATACTGCCATCTTTATTTTAAAATGATTTCTATCACCCATCCGCCTGTGCACAATATTGTTATCACTCTGGTTACTTTTAACTATCGTTATTATAGTTCAGACAAAATTTGATCAATCTTTTTAGACAGAAATAAAACTAACCCAGGTATCTAGGTCATTTTGACCAAAACAAGAGGGTATAGTAAGGAGAGAGCAGTTTCTCCTGTAAAGAAAAATGTTGCTAGATATATGTATGCAAAATATAGCACAAAGTAAACTGTACCTAATTTTGAAGATTGAGTTCCATCTTTTTTCTCATGACGTTTCACATATTTCATCAGCCAATCAAATATCTGAACATCACAATGGACGGAGATGTCAACTTCCTCCCATCGTTGAGAATCGTTTGATAAATATTCCGCAAAATATTTCATTTCTTTTATCAGGACGTCTCTCTGGCAGTGAAAGTCTTGTTTTACTGGAAAAAATAATGGTGATGAGTACAAGGGCAGACCCTGAATTAAACATTATGCTACATTCAAGAATAAATTAAAATGTTCATGCAGAAATAGAGGCAAATGATGAATTGAAGAAGCAAATGCTGATTTCTTTGAACAAAACACTATTGTTTGTTTTGTAAATGAGCAAATTTTTTTCTGGCATTTCTATTTGTACAAACATCAATAAAATAATGTTCATTTTTGTATTCCATGTAGCCTAGGTGCAAATCTATTTTTAAAAACTCAAAATGGGCACTGAACCTCATTGCTTCACTGCTTTAGAGATAAATGGCATTAACTTACAATTCTTAGCTTCATCGCAGACATGTATCACCATGACAGGACTTTGATCATAGTAGTTGCTGTCAGATTGCTTATGTGAATCTTCTACTGATCCCTTGCTACTTGGCCTGCTACCTTCTGAAGAAGAGAATGTGACGTAATAATTTTACAGCAATAATGCAGTAAACGTGGAAACAAAATTTGATTTTTCAGACTACTCCACTGACTTCTGCATAAGAACTCCTCTTTAATGACCACCTACCAGAGCCAGAGTGAATATTTTTAGTGGTTCATAATATGTTCACTGTACATAGGTAAACTGCACTTGATGACAATGGTAGTATATGAATAATGCAAACAAATGGACATCGACAAATTGCATCAGGGGGATGTCCAGGGTCTCAAATTAGGTAAGGCAAATTTGTCTATATATAAAATTGAAGGAAAGTATGCTTCTGTTATTAATTAGAACCAAAGAGATGAATATTGAGATAACAATAAGTTACATGTTAGTGAGGTGCCATGAATCCATAAAGAGCTTAGTCATCGCTATATGACTGCTTTAGATTTTTATCCTACCTTTTTGTTTGCTTGAACTGGGACCACTAGGATGCTGGTCTTCGGAAGGACTTTTCAATCTGGCTTCCAAATCAGGACCTCTACTCTCATTTAGACGTTTGGCTATTTTCTCTACAGATGGAGTTAAATTTAGTTGTTCTTTCTGCAGTTCTTGGAATCGCCGAGCACACTAGAAGAAAAATGATGGTTATATAATCAGGTTGTGATTTTGCAAATTTATAACTGTATGGATTGGACACAATCATGATGAGCCATATACATGTAAGCAGGGCCGGATTTACATAAATACATGTCACATTTATGATAATAACTTTTTTAGTATTTTAAGTTCAATTATGTAAAAAGAAGGAACGTTTGGATCATGCTTATGGTTAAATGATATCCATCACAGGATCACCGGTTCAACCTCTTTTGTTTGTGAAGTTCGTCAGACCTTTAAGATTTACAGCAAAATTGATTGGGAATATGTAACTCCACTAAGGAAGGCTTGACTTTTGAGTACTAAGACTTTATGTTGTAAGCAGACATAGGATGGAGAAATTTCTTCCACAAACCTGTGTAGCACTGATGCCAGAGAACCGCTTCGCGACTGCTGGCCAGTTCTTATCCTCTCGCTCTAGGAACTTTGGGTTCAGGAGAAGAGACTTCAGTAGCATGTCAAGCATTGTGGTTGGCTGGTTATTGTTGACATTCCGAGGAGTGGCGACAGTGCTGTTACTCATGGTTTTGACCTTACGTGTACCTGTAGGATTAATTAAACAGTTTAACCTGGATTAAAAACATCAAATCGTGGACTTCATCATTATCGAGATTGAGCTAGACTAGAGGTAAAGAAATAAATTCAAATTGGAGTGAAACTTGGATTGGAAGACTTGAAAATCAAAATGAAGCAAAAGTTTAAATGCATAATTAGCGTTCTTGATGCCTATCTCGGATATTTTCGTGACGCTAATGTTATCTGAGATACGTATTTTTAACAATGGAAATGAAGGAGAAGTTAAAAATAACAGTTGAATGCGATTTTATCTCGATTATTCATTTACCAATATTTTAAAAATTTGCATCAGAGCAACGGTGTCTCAAATTTTTCCATACTGCAGATTTTTCCAGCATGATTTTTATGAATTAAAATCAATTTCTTATCCATCATACCCATAACTTATTTGAAAAATAATAAATTATATGAGTTATTGCAATAAAATATAATTTATCAAGAAATTGATTCGTTATCCTTGAAATAAATCAATGATATATAAAAAGTCAAAGAATATTTCTAGTACACCAACAAATTAATTATCGCCCACCTTTTTTCAAATTTCAAGTTTTCTCCAACTTTTGCTGTGTATCTCTAGTTTTATGCAGCCAATGCAAGAAATTAGTTGTGCGTAATTCTAAATTTGTATAAGGCTTTCTTTGAGTTAACCGTTCACCACAATGTCAAAGAGGAAAGTCACCTTTGAAGGAGAGGAAAACTTTGAGATTCCGGATGCAGACCCGCCAAAAATCTCAAAGAATGAAGGTAAGATAAGGGAAGAATTACTTAGCCAAATGCCGTATGCTGATCTGTAGTAGAAGCTGCAATTCAGAGGGGTCCATTTTTGCAACTGCCGTTACTTACAATTTGGTCAAAGTCATGCATTGTTTGTCAAAAAGAAGACAATGGTTTTCTCTGAATCGTTTAAGTTACCTGTACAATTGTATCAAAAGCGATCCCCTTGGAATGATTCAAACTTACCTGTTGATGGAGATATTTACCTCCTTCAAAGGCCTACTAATCTGATATAGAATAACAGCCTTTGATTGCCCCTATATACAATAGGCCACGGGAGAATTGTGATGGCTGAAATTGAAATACTACCCTTTGCATTCGTTTGACTTCACTTCTTAAAAGAGAGCTTCGTCTTCACTCTTTCAAACTAAAATAAACCTCTGAACTCACCGCGCCAATCAGTGTTCGTCGGCCAAATTTGACCGACGTTCTATATATGGTCATTCCTTCTGACGTCATCGTTGAGCCCGGAATTGACCAATGACACGCGTGTATTCAATAAGAACGCATTTGGCGTATGTTTCTTCAAGCTCACTGATTAGTGGAAGAAAGGTCAGCACGTAGGTCAGAAGTGATTTATTACCCAAACTGTCACCGGTACCCGTCGTGGGGGCGGGGCTACTAAACTGTAATATGGTCTCTACTAGGCAGAGTGTAGTTTAACTAGACTCTGCACGCAGGGTATTGAAATACTGAAATCAGCTGCTTACTTTATATCTCAAAATATTTCCTAGATCACCATCCCTTGTTGGTGGAAGTCTGTGAGCTGCTTCTTTGTCAATCAGGATTTGCCTTCTAGTGATCGAGAAATCAAATGGCGGTTTTGATGGAAATTTATGAAGTAACGTTTGAAATCTGGAAGTTTTAAAGTTCACTCGAAATAGATGCAGCTAACTAACAGACTTTCGTCAATGGAGAATGGAGATTTGGGGAACATTTAAAGATATAAGCAGCTGATTTCAGTTTTACAGTTTAAACTGTCACTATTGTCTAGCAGCCCATAATAGAGAACAAGCAAAAGATGTTCTATGAGATTGTTCAGGCAGCCTTTGAAAGAGGTACATGTAAGTAAATATCACAGATGCTTATGTAACAACCTTTGATAGGAAGTTGCTACTTTAGTCCAGCTGTAGTGGCTTAAGCCTTTATAGTTCAGTCCGTAGAGCATCAGACTTTGGGTCCAAGATGTTTTTTTTAAAAATGAATTTGCTAAAAATCGCCCTTTCTTATCTTATTTTGACGCAAATCGCTAAGCTTTTTTCATGTCTTATTTCATTTTCCAATGGTTTCTGATATTCTTTCGATTTAAAACTGTTTCAGCTTGTCGAAATGAACCATTAATCTAAAAAAATTACTTTACTTTCATTTCACTGTTACTAGAAGCTCCCGCATATACCAGCGTACTCTTATTAATTTGTTCTGTTCGGTATTTTAGTGCATTAGCGTTCGGTATTTCAGTGCACTTTTCTCGATGTACATCGCGATGTGCATCGATGTTTACTACTGAAAGTTGCCGATGCATCGATGTACGATTATGACACATCGCGACAACACTACTGTCATCCCATTCTCTTGTTGTGTCTAATCCATCCAATCAAATATAAGAGCTGTCACTGACCAATCCATAATGAATGTTGGTATTATTCCGATTTGAGATAATGGCATACACTTATGACTAGTATGTATATATATATTCAAGTCTATAACCAAGCAGAAATAATAAGTGACGTTTCCACATTATTTGCATATTATTTTTACATATACAAATGTACAAATGATTTTTCTGATGAGTTGGTTGTTTAATTCAATTTGACAGAATTGTTTAAAATCTCTGCGAATATGTTCAAAATAAATAATAATAAGCTTTATTCCTGTTTGTATCTTTCAGATGAATCCAAGGAGAAATCTGGACGTTTCAAAGACAAACACTCCCTTGACTCTGATGAAGAGGATGGGGGAGAGAAATATGAACTGATGAATGAAGATGATATTGAAGGTATGGAGGAAATATTATTATTACCACCTTGCCGGGCCTGTTCTAGGGGTTTTAGTGCTAGTTTAGAAGGCATTCATTTTACTATATCAACCTGAGCAATTATATGTGACGTCATAGTGGTGGTCAAGAATGCATTTAACGACCGGTAATTTACCCCGGGAAATTAGATATCACTCAGTGCCCTCGGTCCAATATTTTACAATATTGCCCTTTGAAATGACGTTATTGTACTATTATGTCACCAGCATAAGTGGTGGGCAGGGGTTGAGATAAGGTTCTGAGAGCAGCCGGTCAAAATGGCATTACGGACCAGTTGCCACTTTATTTTCCTATACCTACTGAAAAAATCAGCTGGTCCATATTAAACGTGACCTGGCAAATGAGCAGTGGACTGCCATTAGCTCAAGCCCTGATGGTAGGTAGTGGTTGGTATTCGGCATCTGTATCAAATGGCATGTGGTGACGTTTTGCATGTTTATGACTTGTTATCATTAGAGATCCCATTATTTATAGAATTATCTAGTGATCTGATACTTAACTAAAGATTTGATAAACAATGTGATATATTTTGAAAATCTAAATTGAATGTTTTTTTGGCTAGGAATGATTAAATCATCAAATATTAATACATTTTGTTGTTCATTTCTTAATCTTTTTGGGCAATTGTAATAAGTATACTAAATGTGTAGAGAATATATATAAAATAGAAAAACTAGAATGCAGTGTTCTACCTACACTTCTACCTACACATTTCGTTTCTTAAATATAACTGGGCAAACTACACATTTTGTGAAAGTAACTTCAAAAACTGTAAAATGAGAAAAATTTCAAATAAAAACAAATGTGTAATCAATTAATGAACGATACTCAAGTTTTTTAATATTTCATGATTTGTAGGTCTCAAATAAAATAAATGTGACATGAACTAACAGCTTTTTCTGGCATTTCTTTAAAATTGATTTTGATCATTCTTTGCCACTTCTACTTTTCGCTTGGCACACATATGATATAATAACTGTGGTAACGAATGTTATGACATCTATGGTATGAAAAGAAATTGTGTTGATGTGATGTGTTCGATCTTTATTTGTTTTTTGAAAATGCATTGTATATATTTATTAGGTCAGGAAAATGCAACCATAGACTATGATGATGGTATCAAGATCACACCATTTAACATGGAAGAGGAGCTAGAGGAAGGTCACTTTGATACACAGGGAACTTACATATTCAAGAAAGAGGTCAGGGTCAAAAGCCGTCTGCTTTTATTATTCTACACCTTTTGTCCTTTTCGCTCTAAAAGGACTATTCTCGGTTTGGAAAATGGAGTTCATCACTCCAATTGAGCATTATCCTTGCTTTGGACAAATTTGATTTTTTTACATGATATAGATTTGAATGTCTTCTTTTGATTATTCATAATTTAATTAGGGTGATAATTCTATATTTTTCATAAACAAAATTATTAGCCCATAAGACTGTTCTCCAAACCGAGACCTGTCCTTTGAAAGAACTGTTTGATTTTCTTGCTTTTGTATACAATTTAGTGTTGACTATAAACCTGTTTACTTTATTCCTTGCTGATTTCACTCTTTTTCTCTCTAAAATTTGAATAAACGGCCTGATTTTCTGCCATTTCTTTACAATTTAGAGTGTTGACTATAAGCCTGTTTACTTTATTCCTTGCTGATTTCACTCTTTTTCTCTGTAAAATTTGAATGAACAGCCTGATTTTCTGCCATTTCTTTACAATTTAGAGTGTTGACTATAAGCCTGTTTACTTTATTTCTTCCTAATTTCACTCTTGTAGTTTCTATTTTTCACTTGAAAATGTAACTCCTAAATGTATTTGATATTTTTCTCATGGGAGATTTAGAAAAATACTTTATATTACCTGAACCATGCATTAATTTGGAATAAATGAACTAAATCTACTCATATTAATAACCAAAGTGCTCATATTTGTGCTAATCACATTCTGCTATGGGGTGAAATGCAATTTGGAATTGTATGTTTATTGAGGATAGAATATTTTAGTTGATGAGTTGACGCCCATGGGGATAGGTACTATTTGTTCTATATATTCAATCAGTATTGAATGTTTTTGATTGATAAGTGAATACCATGGGAACTGAAACTACTGATATAATTTAACATAACGTGGTATAAAATCACTGTAAAATTGTATTGTAACTTCTTGCCTTTAAAGTGGTAGTTTTGATTCACACCTCACTGACTCATTTACTGTACTCCTAGGATATTTTTAGTTTTAATTTCACAAATTTTGAGGAATGTTCAGCCAAATATTGCCCTGATAGCTCAGAAAAATAAAATTTTTCGAATTCTCTCTCTACAGTCCTTGTTGCCCCTTTAACATTTATTGGGCCATCCTGTATATACATTAATTTACTTAAATTTGGTCTTAACTTCTAATTTAATTTTTAAGAATTACATAGTAGAATACATCTGAAATAATGTACACTTTTAAAGGGTGAATTTTCAGAATTTTTTGTCTTTTTGTCTTTTCCTTTAAAATGTCACTTCTTGCTACATGTTAGTCACTTCTATTTGACATGTCTAATTAAATGTTCAAGTGATAAAATACCAAAATAATATGATCTTTAAATGTTAAGTTAATTAAGTGTCGCCAAAGTCCCTGTCCCAGGGGTTTCACTAGCAGCAGGCAACAGGCGATTTTTCTCCGTTAGTTTTCACAAAATCTCCTGTTGTTTTTAGGGACATTTCAACTTTTCCATGTTAAATTCATGATTTCCATTAATTTTGCATATGAAAACACATCCTTATTTTCTTGGGAACATTTTGTATTTTATTGATGCGATACTGCTTGTGTAACACTCTGTGTCTGGCTCTGTCCATCGATATCTGTTCCCGTCACTTGGCAATATTTTCTACACCTGAGTATTTCAAACTGTGTGAAATAAGCGTCCCTAAAAAGCGAGTTCATGCGAAGAAAAATAATGTTATTCAAAATTCCATAGCTCCAGACCAAAACAACTCCAAGTCGATGCATCGCTGGTGCTTTCACGTTCTTGTCGATGGCCAATGTAAACATAATAGGCATGTAACAAAGGATATATAGACCTATCACAGCAACCATCATTTTCGTCATCTTTAATTCCTTATTGAATGATGATTTCTTCTGCTTCTTCAATTGACCCTCCTGTTTCGGGGCTTCATGGTCATTTAAATCCTTATGTGGGTTTTTCAATTCATTTAAATGTAAACGATTTGAGATATTTCGTTGGTGATTTCTGACCTTGATAAAAATGCAGGAATAGCATATCACGATCCCTGTTATGGGGAATCCGAAAGCCATCATGGTCGCAAAGGCGGTGAAGCCATCTCCAATATCTAGAAATGTGCATGAATTTTTGAGAGGGCTATAGCCGTATCTTCCCCATAATCGTGGTAGTGGCCAGAAGAGTACGAAAGTACTTAATATAAACGTTAGCATCGAAAGTATTGTTAGTCCCATTTTACTGAACAAAACCTGATTCACATTTGGGAGGCACATCAGGAAACAACGATTTAACGAGACTAAAAGAAGAGTCTGAAGTTGAATCCCAACTAAGTTGTTATTTATGAAGGAGAAATATTCACAAAATAATTGTCCAAAAATCCATTTTTTAGAAACGTCAGCTATTATTACGATTGGTATACTGAAAGAAGAGAGTGTCAAATCGCAGACACATATATATCCCATTAAAAAGTATGTTATATTGTGGAGTTTTTTGGTACGTATCAATGTATAGATTGTCGTCGCATTGAAAGGTATTCCAATTACGAGCGCTACACTTCCTCCAATGATTCCAATGAATGCTGCTGAGTTTGGAAAGTTCAACGATTGAAAACTTTCCGTCACTGTTGTATTTTCAGTCATTGTCATTCAGTCTTTTGTTATTCTAACTTTGAAAACCTATATTTTCATTGTATTGTGCTGCTCGGCCTTCAGGTTAGATGTGGGCTACATGAATCTTGCCATCAAAGTTCAGAAAACTTTCTCCTTTCAACTCCATTTAAAGTATGATATTCATCCCTGTGTGTATTGCTTTTCCCAATAAAGCTTCCCTACTTGTCTACTTTTGCGCTTTGAGTTAATTCTAGCTGAACTCCAAAAATTGATTTGATTTTGCCTTTTGTTATCAGCACAAACAGAAGGTGCAAGATGCAAACATTTCCATTTATTACTTATAGTACATTGTACTGGTATCTATCAATTGCAGAAGTAGTTATTGATTCATTGTTATCCATAAGGGGTAATTCAAGATACTTAACGGCTCATATGTTGCTCATGGTATCACCTCTGTTAAAGCCTTATCTGCAGCCTCGCCTATTTCACACCCTTTAATATCAAATATCTGATTATTGTGTAAAAGCGCTCAATAGGAACGGAAGTCAATTAAAATAAGTTGCAATTCCCTATAGTCCCTATGTTGTTGTTTTTTTAGAGGCTTTACTTGCCCCTTTTTCAATCTTTTATAGAAAACAATTGATTCACTCTCCGAGGGCTTTCCCTACATTGAAGTCTCTGAAGAACTATAAAAATTCTTAAAATGGTACACAAAAATTACAAAATCCTAAAATGTTGCACTAAAGATACAAAAAAAAAAATATTAGACAAAAATACAATTGAAGATGTTGTTTTAAAAAGACAGGAAATCCTCCATATGAAAAATCCCTGAGCGAGGATTCTTAATTCTCCGAAGAATGATTTTTTATGTAATACTTCCATTATTTACAAAAAAGGTCTAAGTCTATTAATTACATGCATGTGAATTACATTATAAATTAAAAATATTTTATTGGGGATGAGAATTACAACCAATACATCTTTATCAATTTTCAGAAAGAAATTCATGACAATTGGCTGGATGATGTGGAATGGCAGAAAATAAAAGAAGTAGCGAAACCTGCAGATGATGACAGTGATGAAGACGAACAGACAGAATCTATAGACAAGATCGCCATCTATAAAAGCATGATAGAATTAATGAAACCTGGAGAGAACGTGAATAAAGCGTTGAGAAGGTTGGGCGGTGGAAAATCAAATATGTCCGCCAGCCAGCGATGGAAGAAAAAGAAAAAAGGTGATACAAATACAGAAACTGACAAAACCTCGACAAAAAACACTGAACATTTAAACCAACTGACAGGTTTTGCAGACAAACTACTTCAAAATGGCCATTTTGAAATCTATCAGGACACTTACGAAAAAATGCAGTTTACTATTAAAAAGGCTGAAGATGATGAAAATGCTAAAAAGACTGCTATTCCCGAAGATATGGATGATGATGATGCCCTTGATATGTTTGGTGATAACTTGGATAAAGATAATAAAGATACCAAAGGTGATACTGATACTAAGGCAGAGGGCAGAGAAACTAATGGTGAAAGTGGTCCAGTGAAAGAGAATCCTACACAGTCTGATACTAATACGGGTAAGGCCCTTCACATTACTATTAAATGGGGATCAAAACTATTTTAGAAAACATGGTATTCTTAGTCCAAGACTATTTCACTTTTGATTTCTGAGCTGTGGTAAAAGTTCTTTAATTGTTTTTTGTTTTTTTTACTTTTTAAATATTTGCAATATAAATTGATTATTTTACAGTTTGAGTTAAATTTACCAAAAATGTTCGATTCACTGAATTAAAATGGGTTCCTAAGTTAACCAACTGTGGCTATAGTAGAATAGAAATTTAGAAACATTAAAGTAATAACCGAAACCTCATATTGCCAATGGGTAACGGCACTTTGAAAAGTGATCCACTTATTGATATGTTCCACTTACAGAAGTATTTTGCATTACAAAGACTCAGCTTTTGTTTTAGTAGATAATTTGACGAGTGATGTAGTCTTTGCTCTACTGTGTCTTTGTTTTAGTCCACAATACACCCAATATATTATATTTATTTAAGTAGATACAATCATTGTTCACCCAAGTAGTTTATTGGACTGAAGATTGGTCGACATTGTATTTAGAGTGCAAAGAGAACCTATTGAAAAAATATATTTATAAATAGATTTGTGTATTGATATACAGGTTATTGCCTTACAAAAAATATATTTATAAATAGATTTGTATATTGATATACAGGAGTTACTTAATTTACACAAAGCTATCTCCTGAGAGATAGCTTTGCAAAACTCTATATTCCCAGCCCATGTTAAAGGTCTTTTCCAGAAATGTTAGAAATCGTGGGAACACTTACACTACTTCAATCGATGTATAACATCATAAAGTATCGTTGTAATAATCGTAGAACGCTAACTGGAGTTGGGAGACAGTGTAATTGACGAAAAATGTATTTGGAACTTGTTATTTTCCATGTCGTCTGACGGAAGTCTTGCCAATGGGCATGCGTGCAACCGGAAGCGGAAATCTCATGGCATGGAAGCGCATGCGCATTACCCAATAAGCCATCTTGAAAATTATCATCTCTTCAACATTTTTTCAACATTTTTCCCGACTCCAGTTAGCGTTTTACGATTATTACAACGATATTTTATGATGTTATACATCGATTGAAGTCGTGTAAGTGTTCCCACGATTTCTAACATTTCTGAAAATGACCTTTAACATGGGCTTGGAATACTGAGTTTTGCATAGCCATCTATCTAAAGATGGCTATGTGCAAATATAGTAATACAGGAGGAACTCTTGTGTTATCTTGGTTATTGCCCATCATGATAAATCATGACATATTCTCGTTTCTTCTCAACCCTGAGATGTTTCAGGTGAAACAGAAGGATGCTATGAGTATCAGAATGGTTATTGCCTTACAATGTTTAACATATCATTTTGAAGGCATTTTTAAGACTTTCTTAAGTTGACAAAAAAGTTATGACACTACGTGCAATACGTACACGTTTCATCTGCCATCGGCTGACTTTTCTGTTACTTCTAGGTGTTCTCCCCAAAAAAAAATTTCAACTGGGTGCAATTTTTCAAATCTGGAAAAATTAGTGCTCGCTACGCTCGCGCTATCTCCAGGTGACTGCTAAATACTTCACTCATTTTTCAAATCAAAAGTTGAAGTGCAGGAGGGTTTCAAGTAGGGGGGGGGGCAGTAAAAGTGACATGGGGAGATCACTGCTTCTTAATTTTCCCGCCAAAACTGTACTGCTACCTATGATTGTTAATTTCATAAAATGATTTTTTAATTACTCAAATACAATTCATTATTTCATTTTCAGCCGATACTAATGATAAACCAGAAGAAACAGCTCCCAACATGGTTGACCCCACAGCTGAAGTGACTTGGGAATACAAGTGGAAGGAAGAAGAGGAAGAACTCCATGGACCTTTCACAAGTCAACAAATGCTCGACTGGACCGAAGACAATTATTTCCCCGATGGGGTGTTATGTCGGAAAGTTGGAAAAGAGACACGATTTTATAGCTCAAAACGCATAGATTTTGATCTTTATACTTAGAATCTGATTTAACGCCTTGGATTATTTTCTGGATTTCAAAAATGTGCAAAATCAAATCTCAGGTGGAATTCCAAGATGTAAAATTGTTTGTCATTAAAGATTCATAGTACTAGTTAAAAGTATAAACTAGGTAACAATGACAAATATAGTACACTATGTACTAAACCAATAATAATTGAATAATACACATGTTAAAAACATAACTAGAATATATTTTCGTTCAATTTACAATGTTTTTATTATTCAGTAAGGTACTATTTACAGGTCACATTAAACAATTTTCAAATAAGATACAATACTAGAAATGATTTTTCAGCTCACATAAGTGAGCTTTTGTATTTCACCCAGCTCTCATGTAAAGTATTAACTACTAGATCTCATATTGATTACTTCTAGATCATGTTACATGCCCCTATTACTTTGATTTAAAAAGGACATAAAATTGTCGACAAAAACACAGCAGAAATTGATTTCAAACTCACAATGTGAAATATGAAAGAAAAATCTCTCACAATTTTTATTTCTAATCTAACTCTAATTGCCCGACAACATGGTTCTCAAGTATATCCCTTGTTAATTTCCATTCTTTGTCACCATATTGTTTGTTTGAAATATGACATGAATAGTTTCCACTCTTTGTCACCATATTGTTTGTTTAAAATTTGACATCAATATTTTCCACTCTGTCACCTTACTTTGTGTTTGAAATATGACATCAATAGTTTCCATTCTTTGTCACCATATTGTTTGTTTGAAATATGACATCAATAGTTTCCATTCTTTGTCACCATATTGTTTGTTTGAAATATGACATCAATAGTTTCCATTCTTTGTCACCATATTGTTTGTTTGAAATATGATATCAATAGTTTCCACTCTTTGTCACCATATTGTTTGTTTGAAATATGACATCAATAGTTTCCATTCTTTGTCACCATATTGTTTGTTTGAAATATGATATCAATAGTTTCCACTCTTTGTCACCATATTGTTTATTTGAAATATGACATCAATGGTTGTCCTCTCACAGGATCGCATAAAAATGCTGTCATTAGTGATAGATGATCTCAGATCCATATAAGAGACCTTAGCATCTGTTTAGACATATATCTGTGATTTACAGGATCTTACCTATGTATTAGGAGTACAATACATGTACAGGTTGGGCCAATTATTATATTCTTGCCAGTTCAGAATGGGTACATTTTTTGGCCCACCCTGTATTATCTAAAAATAAGAATCAATATGTACCCCACTGGTCTGAATTTGATCTCGGGGGTCTTTAACTGAAATATTGGTGTCTATTTTTTAGACCCCAGGATCTTTTATTGAAGATTCTGAATGTGTAACGTTTTGAGCCGATGTCTATATTTTACACCTCGGAAACTTTTATTGGAGATTCTGAATGTTTAGTGTTTTGAGCTGGTTTTATGAGACTAGATTTCCAAATGTTTGGTTACAGTTCATCATTTGAATCCATTGGCTATATGAGGTGCTATCTGAAAATAAAAATATGAAGACATATCATTTAAGGATTGTAGAAGCAAGTATCTGTAACTAATAAGGAGCGAGACAAAATATCAATTTTTATCAAACCCTTGAGAGCTATTGGCTCTGGATGTTGGGACAGCCATTTTGAAACACCCTGTACATTCCATTATTGCACACTCAATGTTTAATGCCTTTTCTCTAAGTAAACCAAATCTGAGAACTTTTTTTGTTTTTTAATTGAATTATACTTTGCCTCCTGAGCTTTATTTCGGTTGGAAGAAATGGATGACACTATAAACAGATGACACTACAAAAGGATGACACTAGATTGAACTTTGCACACTCTTTGTTATGATGTGTTTGTTTACATCTAAAGGTCGCTTGTATCTATTAAACCCCCAATGAATATCATATGTATCGGGACTATTCCACTATCCTGTACATAAAAGTTTGGCCAGGATTGTCCCACTTGCCTGTTCATAAGGTATCAAGTTTTGTTGTGGAATTGTTTTGAAACATGCTTTATTTTAATTCTTTTTTAATTATATTTGACCTTAGAAGCCAGCTATGTGTTTTATAAAAAATAAATTCAAATCCAATATTAGTTTTCATATATTATTTGGAAGGTGGTCTCATTGAAGACACTAAAAGGTAAATATGGGGAAATGTTACTGCATGCTTGTGCAATTTGTTGAGGCCAATTTATTGTTACAGGAAAGATATGCATCTGAGTGTCAATGGATTTTCCCTTCCTGATAAATGTTGATGGACTTTTAAACACGCTTCAGCAAATATTCAATAATTACGTAGAAAAAGTGATGAGTTGTATTTTAGATTCATTTCACAATGAAATAGTTCCGTTAGTTTATTTGTATTCTGTCTTTTTCATTGTATTATTTAACTATCTATTTTATCTATTTGCAAGGTTGACTCTAAAGATGAATCTTCTTAAGTAGTTTATTGCATGTGATGACACCTTTAAACTATTTAATCATACAATCTAAGAGCTTTATAATGTTTGGGGAATGACCACACTTGACTGAATTTACATTATCGTTTGAAAGTTGAATTATTCATCAGTTCTTGAATATTTTCATCATGAAAAGTATGTCTCAAGAAAGGGCTGCATATGAATCTTGCTTTTAGTATAAGGACAACAACAAATTATATATAATAAACTACAAAAAATTAGATCTAATATAAAAGGTTTATTTAGATGAGATACAGTACTTCAAAAAGAGGATCTGTTTGGAGCATTCTACTTATGATGTAATTGGAGACAGGAGGCAATTCTGCAAATTCACAAAGTCTGATAGATATATTTGGAAACTCCATTGGCCTTCATACGGGGAAACACATTTTGTTATCCTATCAAATGAAGTTTGCATGGATATAAAGAAGCCATCTGTCCATTCGTTTGTTTGTCCGAGGGATTACAAAATACCGGTTGATTTTGATTCATTTTTGATTTTGATTCAATTTTATAGGCTTATGTTTTATAGGTGTAGGACCTCTGTCAAAAAGGAATTTCAATATGGCTGCGCAATTCAAAATGGCCATCATTTTTTGTAAAATTGTATTTTTTATTATTTCATAATTGTAACTCAAATACTAGAATAGTTAATTTGGTTCCAATTTTATGTGCTGATGCCGAGGGACGATGGGGCTCTGCTCAATAAGAGATTTTCAAGATGGCTATTTAGTTTCAAAATGGCCACCATTTTCATAAAAAATGTTATCTTGGATAACTTAAATACTAGTGGATAGATTCGATTTCCACTAGTGTCATCCTTTTGTGGTGTCATCCTTTTATGGTGTCATCCTTTTATGGTGTCATCCTTTTGTGGTGTCATCCATTTCTTCCAACCGGCTTTATTTTTCCTTGTTTATTATCCATAAACTCCAATACATTTCTATTTGCCTTTAGTAGTATGAAGGTTTTAGGCAAATTAGAAACATTTAGTATTTTTTGGCTATTACGTACCACTAACATGTTCCCTCTTTTATTCTTTCCAGTTGCGTAGTGTTTCCCCCTTGTGAACTCTATGTGATGTTTCTTTCTAATTGTGGAGTAGGTTATTCTGAAAAAAGAAATTTTTCTTTATCTGATTAGATATTTGATTACTATAATCACTGTGATAATGAAACATTTAAATGAGTATCGGAATCCTCCATAACAATTGAAGTGGTTTCACTTTTAAAATCTGTCTTTAAATTGTCCCATCGGTTAACAATGATGTCTAGAATGCACTTGTGAGCCAAGTACCTATGGTACTATTTTATTTTATTAATCTAAAACATGTGAAATGAGCATAGAGAAGATACCATCTGGCATGATTTTTTCCAAAGTAAGATAATGTCATCCTTCCCTTAAGAAAAAAGCCATGGTAACCATGGTATTCCATGGTGCGCCCATGGTAATCCATGGTTTTCCATGGAAATTCATGGTTTTCCATGTTATTTTCCATGGAAATTCATGGACGCCCATGGTAATCTTCCATGGATATTTACCATGATTTTCCGTGGTAATTGTTGGTTTGGTAATTGGTTTTTAATGGATGTGTCATGGAGATGTAAAATCAACAATTTTGGTAGGATTTGTATTTACCAAAATCTCCAAAATGAATGTTTTGATGATATATCCCAGTTAGACTGAGACTTATCATTGAGAAAAAAGGGTGGACATTTCATTTTGAAGGTATAGGTATAGCAAGAACATTCATCGAATGTTAGACTCAGCTTACAAATGAGAAAATATGTGAAACAGCAGAGCAGAGAGTAGGCCACAAGATTTCAAAAACAATTGTGCAAAGGTCTTTTGTGTAGATCAAAACTAGATAGAGATTGCTTATTTTTTAGGCCAAACACTTCTTTCCTTTGAAAAAGATTAAGTCAAACTAGCCCAAGCTCTGTTTTATTTCAATACTTTCCTTAATTTTCAGTTTTAAAAATCAATATGAAGTAATTTAAGAAATAAATAACTCATTTTCTTAAATTACATTTCGTACATTTGAGAATACAATCTTTGATGTTTTGGAAAGTGCAATCAAAAGCCATGGTTTTCCATGATTATTCTTTTGATCTTTTGAAAGTTCATGGTTTTCCATGGGCTATTTGTTTGGTCTTTTGGAAGCAGAAAAATGAATAATACATTATGTTTCTAAATGAACTTCTCCAAATTAAGTCCCATTCAACTTTTATAAGCATATTATCTGAAAAAATCCACAGAAAAGTATATACTTTTACAGAATTTTGACTTGAAATTGAGATGGGGGATTAAACACAATCCTATGGCTGCAAACTGAAATGTTATACCTAAGTGATAAAAATTCAATTTGTCTATGTAAGAATATTATATTTAAAAAGAAGTTGCATGAAGGAAGGGGAGGGGGTTAACAACACCATTTGGCTTAAAACATGAAACATAGTATAAGTAATTAAAATTGATTTGGCTTTGAATAGGAATAAATAATCATTTGCATAATTTTTAAATATTTGGTTGCCATTATTCTATGTTAATTAGGTGTCTTAACTCTCAAATTAATGTCAAAAGATTAATCTCTTTACAACAGATTATAAGAGTTCATTTGCATAATTCTTAAATATTCTGATCTTAATTGTTATTATATATGATAATCTTACTCTTTCTAATGCTCCCTCTTCAGTAATTATTATTGTCTGTGAGTGTAGACAGTGCAAGTCAAAAACTCATTGTTGATCAAATAAAACCAAATAGGATTTACTCCAAGTAAAAATGTTTATTCAGTCTGCAATAAGGGAATCCAGTGAGCTGATTTTATCACTTATTTTGTCTTTTTTTACATAAGTGCCAAAGTTAAATGATAGCAAATCCCAGCAAACAAATTATTTCTTTTAATTGTGGGGTCAAATCATCAATTAAAAAAATACTAAGTAAACAGTTCTTTGTCATATGACACTATGTACAGAATGTACTAAACATATATTCAGATTGTAAAAACATGGTTGTATTTCAGGCCTGAAACCAGCTTTTGTCAAGAAGGTTGACTTTCTCAAAGATTTTGGGGTGGGGGGTGTCATATTCTTTTATCTATGATTAATGAGACTAATTCTCAATCCAGCTTGGATTCATTCGTTAAAATATTGATTCAATTTTGAAGATTTTGGTAAAAACAAAACCTGCCAAAATTGTTGATTTTACAACTCAAGTGTCATGGTAAAAACATGGCATGTTCATGAAAAAACAATTACCAAACCACCAATTACCACGGAAAATCATGGTCAATATCCATGGAAGATTACCATGGGTATCCATGAATTTCCATGGAAAATACCATGAAAAACCATGAATTTCCATGGAAAACCATGGATTACCATGGACGCACCATGGAATACCATGGTTACCATGGCTTTTTTCTTAAGGGTTATAATTTGATTTTCATTTGATCTGATTAAATACCTGTCAAAACACAGTTTAATCTGTTAGATCGACGTATTGTGATTTTTGACTTACATATCATCATTTGCGATGTCAACTTTATCCGTAAGTTCCCCTGTCATAGCAATCTTTGTGACAGCCTCAATGGCATAGTCCGTCTTCATGATCAGATCACCTTTGTTCCCTTCTGCTTGCGCATGAAGCACAAACACACCATCTGTCAGTGAACTCACAGATATCCCTGGAAATGGATTTACAGGGTGTCCCAGAAGTAATGATAATTATGATGTAAAAACTTATTTCATAAGGAAACTTTGATATCTTTGAGACTTTTAAAAGACTTACCGGAATATTTAAAAAAAACATCGAATCAGGGAATATTTCATGTACTTAAAAGATGCAAATTATAATTTGGATAGTGCTGATCACTGATATCTGTCATTTTGCCAAAATTGGAACAGTCAATATTACCCATGAAAGATATAAATAAGCAGAAACTGTACAAAATGTATAGGCAGTGAAACCTATAAAGTGGAACACCTCTAGAAGTGGAACATTTTTCTGAGTCCCAAGACCTGACTTAATATTAAACAAGCCTACATACGAAGTGGAACATCATCGAAGCGGAACACTTTTTAGATGAACCAAAGGTGTTCAATTTCAATAGGTTTTACTGTATTAAGGAATACAGTGTATAAGCAGGCCCATAGCCAGCTTTCACCTGGTGGAGCAGTTTTACGAAGGGGGTAGCTTTTGCCAAAGGGGGGGGGGCTTCTTGACAACTTGGCTAAAAAAAGCATACAAAAAGTGCTCAGAATAGAGAAAAACTGCATGTTTTTTAAATAGTTTCATGCCAGGGGGAGCAACGAGCAACCCTAGGCCCTCACCCCCCCCTCCCCCCACTGGCTACGGGCCTGTTAAGACACCAGGGTCTTATTGTAGCATTTTTCATTCGAACCTGTAAGATAGCAAAATGGAATCTTGTCTTTCACTTTGAACTCTCTAGGCTCCAGTCTATATATAGCCTTGTCAGTGACTATCATTGCGCTTGCACGGTTACGGTAGCCATGGCGATCATATTTTGTCACAGCTGCTGAATACTGAAACAGACACACTATTGGTTAAGGGCTGCAGACGAAAGGATGCATCTAGGAAGGGGAATTACCCAGAATTCAAAGCTGAACGTATATTCATATAAAAATAAACCTCTTGGTTCATCTGGGTTATTCCCCATCTCAGTTTACCTGAAAAATTTAGAATTAAATATGAACTACATGTGAATTTCTGCTAATATTCAATGATAACAAATGTCTTTCAGTTTTCAAATACTAAAAGGAATGAAAAAAGTGGAATCTGCAATAAGCATAAGTTGTAATGAAATTCCTGTTGTAATAAAAAAAATGAGATGTCATTTTCAGTTTTAGAGAGAAAAAGTTTGAAATGCAGAAATGGGGAGAAACTTTTGACATTAGAATGAATTCATATAACAGGTTTAAATAAATGAGTACCTTAAGTATAGCCAGGATCAAAAATTTGGTTAGGCAAATGTAAACAGGTGAGGCAAATGGAGACTAAATGAGGCAAATTACTACTGAATAGATATTAGTGGTGTCTATTTACAGCTTGATTAACTGAGGAGTTTTACCAGCAGGAAGTTTAACTTGATGATTTCAAAAAACATCTTGAAAAGTGAAAAAACAAAATTTATGTATTTATCAAATATATTGCTGTAAAATGGAGAGGTAGTTGCCTAGTGCTTCGCTACACCCAAGGGTACACAGTAACACAGCAAAGTATAAGAATCTCTTATAATGCAATATAATTTTATTTACCTGGACCTTCTCATCAGCCTCCATAACTGAGTTGTCAAACACTGTCAATTTCATTTTCTCCAAATATGGGGCTGGAAAAACAAAGGGCAACATTTAAAAAAGCGTGAATGACTTCAATTTATATATGAACCATATTTAACCACAAAACTAAAAAACGTCAAATTCTTTTAAATGAACCATATTAACCATATTAAAAAGCATTCGACTGTACATGTACTACAATTAGAAGCAGAAAACAAAAGACTGTCAAAATGGGCAAAATAGTTAAATATAAGACCATTTATTTAATAATTTGAAATATATTACTTAGCCTTGATTTGACAAATGGATGTGGAACACTAGAACTGTAGGCTTTCTTCTTCTCTTTGAATATTTTCTCAGCAACAACTTTCTGCTCAAGCTGCAAAGGAATTAATTTTTAATAAGTAGGGCCTATAATTCATCTTTCGAACAACAGTATATTAATTATATGCCTTTTTACAATACTTTTACATACACATTTGGAAAATCAGATTTAAATTACAGTTCAACCAAAGTCTCTGGCCCCAGTGATATTTTCATCATGCTTTCTCAAAGGGCTTTATTGTCATTTGGTGCTGATTGACATACATGTGTCAGTTTGTCTGTTCAACTAGAAATTCTAAAGATGCAAAAGCAGACTAGTTCCAAGATCTCATTGGGTTTGCTTCATTCTGGATAAATTACTTAAAGGCCATTTTGAATTTTTCAATCAATGAGTGCGATGTTTACCAATCTATTCAACAGAAACAAATCAAAATGATTATGATCTGCACCTTGATTGACATTTTTCAATAATTGTAAGCATGGGAAGAATTTAACCATTCTAGTTAACAGACACATCATCAAAACACTAGATAAATAAAATACATACAGGGTGATCAATAAATAAGGTAAAAGTATCTGGCATTCCTTCAGATTTTACCCAATCCTCATAAAATTTGCACAGAATAATGTTCAAACATTATTGAATTGATATAATAATTTACAGATCAAAGTGATGTGATTGGTTTAAGTTATGGTTGCCATAGCAACAGAAAGCATGAAGACCCGGGGCAACTATCAAAAAAACTATTTTTTCAGTCGAAACACTTTTGATAATATATTTCAAATCACAATTAAAATGGAATATCATATTCTTATTTCATACTTCATAACTGCTACTTCATGTCCTTTGTTTTTAACATATCGATCATGTCTTCTGCTCCAGTCTTTGAACATCTTTTTAAACCCATTTTAACATAGACTTCAAAAGACAGCTGACTTTAAGTCATCCCATGAGAAACTCTCTCAACTCCCTCTTCAGCTCACCGGCATGAAGGTAAGATCATAAGGGGACAAGTCAGGAGAGTATATTACATGGTCTAACAGTGGGAAACCCAGTGCTTCAATGGTTTGTACCATGAGAATAGCATTGTGAGACGGAGCATTACCCCAGTGCAATGTGAAACGTTTTGCAGGCCCCTTAGCTTCTTCCTCTTTGATCTCATCAAATCTCCTCTGTGGGTATTGTTTTTCATCATTGACCTCAGTGTCATAGACTTTCAATGACCACATCAGTTTTCATTATATATTTATCTTTTCCGTGACATCAAACATCAAATTTGCGAGAAAATATGTAATAATGGAAACAAAGTATTAAAACAATAAATACTGGCACCCACGTTTACTTCTTTTCAGTTTGAAAAGGATGTGCTTTTTACCAATTTTTGTTCAAATAGGAAGCAATGAAATTGCCCCGGGTACCCCCGACTCCAGTTGCCATAGTAACTATAATATTAACCATTCAGATGGAAGAAGTTATATATTAATATGTTTTAATTTCGAATAGTACAAGGTATATTCTGACCAAATTTCAGGATGTTTGTACCAATATTCACAAAATGCCAGACCTTATTTATTGATCACCCTGTATATATACGCTTTTTATTTTTATTTGTTAACATAAAATTTATGATAATATATTTTAAAAAATTTCTAAAATATATCAAAAACCTATGTTTACATTACATTAAACATTACATCCATGTAAATACATAAGAGGGGATAAACATATCAAACATACCTGCCACTTTCTCTCCGGGGTTATTGTGAGGCAGTAGGTTCTTACCAGCATCCTCTTGTGGATATTTTGTAGGAGCTTCGATGTCTGAAAGAAACACAAAAACTTAAATTTTCATAAGTCAAAACACTAAAAGGTGGCTTATCTAAGAATGCCAAAAACAGCTCTAAATTTTCACTAAGATAAAGGCACTGGTAAAGTGGTCCAGATTCTAATTTGGCGGTGCTGATATTTTCAAAAACATTTTTCATTGCCACCCCCATCACACTTGAATTAATTTAGCCAGAGTAGAATGAGCAATCTTTCAAATGTTAAAAAAAATGAATGTGCAATTTGTACATTAATTTGTTACAAAAATGGATCCATCTCCATTACTAATTTGAGTTACTTCACAGCGTTACCAGGATCTACCATGCACTCACCTCCTCCAATACAGGTGGTACTTGTGGCCAGTTTGTTTGCATAATGCTGGATGGCAGCTCTTCCCTCAACTTATTCAGCCAGTGCATTCTCATGTACTTAACAAATAGCTGGTTCTCTGGACAAGGGGGTCGTTTTCTGAACATGAAGCCCTTGATAAATCTGGAATATAGCATGTGAGGTGCATTAATCTCAAATGGATCTTAGATTAATCTGCAATGAAAGAGGGTTTGTCTGGAATGGAGCTTACATGCAGTGGAACTGAGCCCTATCTGAAATGGAAAATGAAATAGGATGGACCAGGGATTTTTGGAATGGGGTAGGCTGGTGCTTACAAGTATCTGGAAAGGATAGGAATTTATCATGCATGTTTAGAAGGTATCAGAAACAGAGTAAGTATCAATTAAAGGGAACATCCATATGACAATAAACAGCATTATTCAGACTCATTCAACAGAGTTATGGCTATGTAATATTAATTTGCAATCTAGTTTTCATGTTCAATCATTCTTAAATGAGTAACGATGTCCTTGTATACAGAGGGTCCAAAAGGACTGTCACTTGTACCACTAGTTGTTAAATCAAACTCAAAATAAAGCTACAGTTAATAATTCTGTATAGATGCCTAAAATCTCATATTACTTATTACAATTAATGAGTACTAGTGACTATTTGGACACCCTGTATAATTCAGATATTCATTTACTTACTGTCTTATACATTTGGCAGCCCATTTTACGCGCTTTAGTTTCTTCATTGCACTGTATCTTCTCCAATTCACAGCCATAATCAACTCTTTAGTGAATTAAATAGAAAATCGATTTTATAAAAACAAATGAATAATTTGTGAACAATTTATGTAATTGTTAGAATTAGTAGTTTTTTGTGTTCAAAATTTGCCTTTGGCATGTTTGATTTTTTATGTATATTTTGTAACTTCAAGTATATATGGATCAAGAGAAGAGCCTAGAGATTAAAGGCTGTGAAGCTTTTGTGGAAACCCTCATTCGATTTTTGAGTCAACTTTGCACAATAATTTTATACATTTTACAAATATTAAACCAAATTTGAAAAATGATTTGTGACAAATGTGTTTGGTTGTTAAAATTGATTGTTTTGGTTTTTTCAAATGTTGCCCTTGGTGCTTTTAAATATTCCATGACAAACTAGTACATTACAAAAAAATTAATGTAATTACAAAAAGGGATACAAACTTACGTGCTTTCTTCATTGCCTTGTACCTCTTTTGATAAATGTATGCTCTGATATGTGATTGGATAACAATGGCTGAAATATAGAAAATAGAAAATAAATTTAAAATGCAAAACATATAATGCTATGTGCCTATACTCTAAAAAGCATATTTGGTTATTTACACAATTTTAAAAGTAACCTTGAAAGTCTTTACTGTAACATTTAAAATGCTTATTCAAGTTATAACTAAAATTTTAATAACATACCTAAATCATTCTTCTTACTATGCAGTGCATCTTCTGCTGCAAATAATGTTTTTGGCCATCGGATGAACAGTTTTGTTCTGAAATTATGATATATATTCAGGGTAAACTAAAAGTATACAAATTGTAAAATTCAAATAATACAAATGAAAATACATATTTTATTGTACATGTACAAACAAAAATTATAACAACTATAAAGGACACTTACTTGCCAAGTCTATAATCATCCTCATCCCACTCCAAATGTTTGATCAACAAATGGACACCGTCTCTTGCCACTCCTGCGTATGACGGCCATGTAGAGGGACATAGGCATTTATACCTTGTGATAAACAGAAAACATTAAGAAAGGCAATCAGCCACCCCCAACAATCAAACAATCTATAATCCATTGAAATCCATTAAACTTAGGAGAGCTAAAACAATGTAAATTTTATTTAAAAGGGTTTATGTTTTGGGGGTTCTTGGTTCATTTTAATGATCTTTACCACAAATCCTCCAATAACAAGCCATATCCTTATTTCAAAAATATGTTAGTACTTACAGTAGTTGCAAATGAGCCATTCTTGGCAATAATTGTTGCCATTCATGAAATTCCCAGGTATTTTTGACTTCTTTCATATAATTGAGCACTTTTTAGAATGGTCTGGAGGGGGTATTTTGAATTTTCTAAACGCCCGGGCGCTAATTACAGAGAATATGGTATGTGAGTTGCTTTGCATTTGTACCTTGCCAAAAATGCCTTATATGGGCGTCTATATGCAAATCCTGCTCTCCGTACTCTGAGGTTCTCCATCAGTCCCAAATATTTCACCTGATGACGTACCAACCTCTCATCAAATGTCTCTGAAATAGATCAAAGTTATTTAAATTACAGGTAATCATTTTTCATTGTTTCTTTTTTAATCTTTGCATTGAATGAAATGCAATGAATAAAATTGAATGAAAGACCAAATAAGGTATCTTTTTGATTATTTACCTTATCCCATTACATGGATTTCACATTTTGGGATAAGTTGTTTCCCATTTATGAATTACCCCTAATCTATTTATCCCTGGGACAATTTTTTCCTAGATTTTGACTTATCCCATAATAAAACATTACTCACTTGAACTTTTTTCTTCATTTGGTTTAACACATCTTACATATGATGGCTGCTTGTCCAGTAGTATCTCCATCAAGTTTGCTAAACTCGTCTTGAATTGAGTTGCTGCCTAAAATTAAAACAAGATGTACATAACTTTTTGGGCAAGTGACAATTCATAAATGAAGAAGAAAAGAAACAACATCCATGAAATCATGCAACTGAAACTCAGAAATTGTTTGAGTATTTCAACTGGAAATATACAAATGGCTAATTTCATGACTTCATGAGAGATATAATAAGCTTGAGATATTGCAGAAATGAGTTGTGTCTTTTTGTGTAACCTTGATGTACAAAAAAGTAATACTTACTGTTTCTGGGCGTTTTTTACTGGTTATTTCTTCTGGTTTAAAGCACTGAGAAATAATCAGATTCTTACTTTTTGTCAATGCCTGAAAGTAAGAGACTCTACACATTATATTATAGGATATTTTAATCCCTTTTAAATTTATACTATTTTGTATTATTTGAAAAGGTGTAGTCAGTATTCATTCATTCAGGTTGCATTAAATTAATAATCTCTCTTTAGTGGGATTTTATTTTATTCAGATTTGTAAAGCAGTCTTAAAACACCTCATGACATCCTAAGGATTGACATATTAAACTAAAGTTTAAAGTAGACTGTTTATGATCACCTCTTTTAAAGTCCTATTTAACTGATCATTGTTTTTGTCTAGAAATCCTTTGACACTATATGTTACTTCTCCAGCGTAATGCAGTAATCGAAATTGCTGAAAACAAAAGGAAAATGAACTTTTTACTTGCAAAACATAATGAAGACACCAAACAATGAAATCCTTTATTCTTAACTGATGACACTCAAACAATGATAACACAAAAATGAACTGTGAACCAATTATTTGATTCCATGAACCATCATTGTGCAATATGAGTATATTATCTAAATATTTCTATTTATGTGTGATTTTAGATCATAAGTTCCTTCTTTTGAACTTATCCTATCACTCACGTCCCGACGCATTGTTTTCCTTGTGTAATAGTCTGCCTTTGATGTATGTCCTATATAATGAGGATGTGTTCCTATTGTGTGAGACATCTTATCCAGAAATGTCTCATCCGTGGGCTCTCCTGGTCTCAAACACTCCTCGTCCTATTATGATGACAAAAATATATTATTGTTGTTTTTCAATACCAAATTTGGAGAGCCATCATCAACTTAAAGTCCAGGCAAAATTGCTATGGTAACTAATATGAACAGTGGTACAGCTGGAGCAGCTCCTTATTATAAAGAATGGATATCATGTTTTTATATAGGTATTTTATCATTAATATTAATATTTTGTATTTTATTAAATCCAGAATGTATAAACTTGGTAAGACGAGAAATGACATTGTTTTCCATATGATAGTATTGCAGTATATTCATATACTACACAATTTAGATTTCTTGAAGTAACTTTGAATAATACAAAACTTACCATGATTGAGATTATTCCTACAGGTTTTGATTCTATGAGGTCACAGATGACTTTGTTGTTAAAGTAGCGTATAGGTTCCCACTGAAACATAGTGCATCCGGGCCAGGTCCAAAACATTAGTTTGATTTGATGAGATGAGATGTAACCCCACCACCATGATGTTTTAATATAAATTATTTCAGAGGAATGCAAATTGAATATACTCAACAGATATTCTAACATAAACTATTTCGGAGGATATTAATTGACTATACTCAAGAGATATTGTATTATAAATTATGTCAATTGGATATACTTAAAAGATGTTCTAATATAAATGATTTCAGAAGATATCAATTGATTATACTTAAGAGATATTGTAATATAAATTATTTCATGGGATATCAATTGGATATACTTAAAATATGTTCTAATATAAATTAATTCAGAAGATATCAATTGATTATACTTAAGAGATATTGTAATATAAATTATTTCATGGGATATCAATTGGATATACTTAAAATATATTCTAATATAAATTATTTCAGAAGATATCAATTGAATATACTAAAGGGATGTTCAAATATAAATTAATTCAGAAAATATCAATTGGATATACTTAAAAGATGTTCTAATATAAACAATTTCAGAGGATATCAATTGAATATACTCAAGGAATATTCTAACATACATTATTTCAAAAGATCTCAATTGAATATACTCAAGAGATGTTCTGATATAAACTATTTCAGAGGATATCAATTGATTATACTTAAGAGATGTTCTGATATAAATTATTTCATGGGATATCAATTGGATATACTTAAAATATGTTCTAATATAAATTAATTCAGGAGATATCAATAAATATGCTCAAGAGATGCTTTAATATAAATTATATCAGAAGATATCAATTGAATATACTCAATAGATATTCTAATATAAATGATTTCAGATGATATCAAATGAATATACTCAATAGATGTTCTAATATAAATGATTTCAGATGATATCAATTGAATATACTCAAAAGATTTTTTAATATAAATTATTTCAGAGGATATCGATTGAATATACTCAAGAGATATTCTTACATACATTATTTCAGAAGATCTCAATTGAATATACTCAAAAGATGTTCTAATATAAATTATGTCAGAGGATATCAATTGAATATACTCAAAAGATTTTTAATATAAATTATTTCAGAGGATATCAATTGAATAGGTATGATATTATAGGATACTTAATTGACAGTATGATTTATATTGTAGTATTTTAGTGACACACTAAATGTGATTACATGTGCAAAATCATCTTTTAAGATAGGCATACAATGTGTGAAAGCCATACATACTAGCCAGGGAGACATTTTGAAATCATATTTATATTCACTCTTCATGAAAATGATATCAAGATCAATAACTCTTGACCAAAATGATTTACTTTGTTTTAATATTTTTCTTATTGTTTATGCGAGTTTAGTTAAACACATGTGCCTTAAATTAAATAAGCACAATTTTCCACTGTAACTGTCTGTATATACTCACCTCTATACCTTCATTCATGTATTCGTCCTGCTCTGACTTCAACGTCAGTTGGATAAAGATCTGCTGAAGCTTTTCATTGCAGTAGTTGATGCAAAACTGCTCAAAACTATAACAAAAAATAAAGTGTTTACATCATGCTACAAGGGGCAATCAATAAATAACGCATAGAGCCTTATCTCAGTAACTAATTGGGAGTTAGAACACCAAATTTGATAAATCGTATCACCAAACATTTCTTATTTCCACAAAATCTGAGTCACAAATATCAATAAATGTCAGAGTTAGTTTTACTCAAATTAGTTTCTGAGATAGGGCTCTATCCCGGGGGCTCTATTTGCTTTCTTTGTTGATCGCTTCTTGTACATTTTACCATGGGATCTCTTGAAAGAGATCTCTTAAAAGTCTTTAGAGATGGTTTTAGAGACATACAAATGTATAGGTTCTCCAATCGTGGCAATTAAATTTATAAATAAAATCTTTCAAAAAATCTATAAAATCAAAATCTTTACCTGTTGTATTCGAATATCTCAAATCCATAGATATCCAAAAGGCCAATGACTGACATATTTTCCTCATGCTGGAATATTTCAGTACATATGTTCAATTTCAATTTGTTTCATAATAATAATGTCGAAATGATATTGATATATGTTTGGACTGCTGATGATTGTTGTTAAGCCAGTTTGCACATTTGATTTTTAACTTAAATCACAATATTTCTCTATCTGACTGACTCTATCTGAATGCTCTAATGTTTTTATTTAATACCCAAATTGTAATTTTAAATAGAGCTTTCTTTGTTTAAAGATCTGCGTCCTTTTGTAAGTTACATATGCCTTATTGTGCATTGTTTATTAAGAATTCTGATCCTCAAGTACCTCATTTGTGAGTGATTTGTTGAGCTTCTGGACGATCCAGGTGAACATACGGTCGTAAATACCCTTTGCCACACCATCCCTCGCATATATGGCCCTTTCTTTGTTGAATGGTTTCACAACCTGAAATAAAATATATCTCATTGAATGTTATATTGACACGTTTCAAAGGTTCTCTCTGTATTGGCGTTTTTGTCTTGTACAGCATACGTTTATATAAATCTTAAAATTAAATATCATAGATACACGCCCGTAGCCTGTTTTTCACCATTCTAACAACTTTTCATTTGATTTTGGCAACTTTTGGGCCAAAGTTGTCGAAAGTGAGCCCCCCTGGAATTTTTTTTTAAAAAGTGACCCACCCCCCTGGCAAATCCTGGCTTCAGGCCTGGATACATGTACATATACCAAACATCTCAATAATCGCTATTATCCATCGTATCACATGATACTGTATATCCAAGATATTTTGATCCTGCTTGTAAGAACAATGAATTATTCATTAGCATGACATACACTTTCTACATCATCAAAACACCAATACTCACTTCATCTCCATCGACGTGGATAACTCTATTGACCAGACCATGACGAAGCATATCCTCGGGGCATTCAAGCAGGGCTGCCACAGCTGCGACATGTTTATCATCTTTGATTTTGGCATGCTTCTGTTCGTCCTGCTTAAACCCTATGTTCCCAAGGTGTAACGTAGCCGATACTATGGTCCATAGACACTGGAATGTTACGAATGCAATGCTAAGAAAAATATTTATTTTGGAATATATATAATGTACTGTAGTATTTAATAGTATCATTATGTAAACTGTATGTAAACAATATAAAGTAAGGTATGTATTCATCACTGCTAAAGAGATCGGGTCTCCTAAAAACACAATTAGAGTAACCCCCTGATCTTTTCGTGTTATTTGATGTAGAACAAGTTTGTTTATCAACTTACCAATTCTGAGACTTGAATTAATTTGTTAACAGTATCAATTCGATGATTGTTCCTAGCCATGAATTTCCCCTTTCATCAATAGAAATTCAAAATAAAATTCAAAAAGCCCGCTCAAATTTGTTCCAGTCTGATTGGCCTTTTCCTTCAGTTTCAACAGATTGTTTTGGCTCAGAGAATCCATATTTATTACTTCTAAGGGGTCAAAATAGAGATGAATCCCCCCAAAACATTGTATATTGTTTTCGACTTATTGCATTCAATTCTGACAGCTGGTTGTTCTGTTGGTTGTCCTGTTGATTTCTTCAATATATTGGTGATATTGTGCTTATGATTTGGTCTCAAGATATATTTAAGGTAAATATGATGTTTTATGAGCAATTATATTGGGACATTACTGATTGTCCATAATAGAAATCTGGACGACTGAATCTCTTTAAATGTTTTGTTATGTATGAAAATGATTTAAGCTTCTCAAATTGTGAGAACCTAATTGAATTTTTATTTTATTTTGATGCAAATCTACTGACTGACATGATCTAGTTACATTAAAAATCATCTTCATTGGGATTTAAAAAATCCTCACACCAATGCTTATTTGTACAAAAATCTACAGACTATCGTTTATTACATCTCATAATGAATACCTCTTGTTCTCTTTCCGAGAAATCACAGACATTAAGTGCATCTCGTGTGTTTTTATATTCTTCCTCGTCGTCCAGACTTTCAACCTCGGGACACTGACCCTGTGGAAGAGACAAAACTTATACTAACCTAAATTATGAGGCTTTGAATCAACTGAATTGTTTGGCTATAATATTTTAGATACGAGGCAAAATGAATCTGTTTAATAATATTAGGCCAATGAAATCATATCCCTATTTACTTCGATTGCATTTTAAATTGCATTTTTAAATATCATAAATGCAATTGTTTCAGAAGGTTTTAAGTTTTCTAATTTAACTCATATATTTCTTTGTATATTGTTACCATATTATATATTAACATGATATAACTTTATATTGATATGTTCAATGATAATTTTTAGCATCCTCATTTTGTTGTCTCATTCCAAGCAATAGATTATTATCGGGAAGCAAGAATGTCTTCCAAGATATCCTGACACAGAGATCTAATGCATTAAAAGGGCTTTTAATTACGATAACTTAAATTGCTTTGCTTGCAGTTTATAATAAAATAAATACTATGCATTGCATAATGCATTGCCAAGTATAACATAAACATGCGCGCATTGTGGGTTCTTAGTTGCTTATATGTATATGTTCATGCAGAAAATAAAGTCACTGCACATTACCTATGCATTCCATTTATTGTGGATGTTCCATCACAAAATTCTGTATACCTTCACAATTAGAGGCAGGTTGCAGATCCGATGGACGTACATGCAGAGTACAACATACCTAAAGACTGGACAGTCTATTATAACATGCGAATGTAAAGCATGCATTACATCAGCAGCTTTTATGAAAGCATGCAAGCTCCCGAAAATATATCATTACTCTACGAAACTGATTTTTCCTCAGTCGTGCCTTATAAGTTGATACCGTTTCCCAACATTTTTTAGTTTCACTCGTCACCATGGTAACCGTGGGGTTTTCACCACTCCCGCCACCCTCAGGGTATATAACACAATTGTTGAAAGGCTGTGAAATAGGTAGCTAGATAATTAAAGTCATATATATAATGTTTCTTTTGAGTCTGGAGGTCTGAGCATATTTATACTCTATGTTATATTAATTAGAGTTGATAATGTAAGTTAATCCGGGAACTTTTGTGAAATATTTAGAGAAGATTTATTGGTTAGTTCTTTTGATACGTCATACCCCGCGTTCGAGTACAATACAAAACTGAACGTGGATGTTTTGGCTCTGTCTTTTTCCACTTAACTGCATACATGAACGTTCTTACGATTCACATACCTGGTTTAAATAAAAGAAGGAATCCGTGTCTCTGCTCAGCTTTAGTTTCTTCAACAATTCTTTATCACATCCCTTCAGAAGCTGGTAGAATATGTGAAAGTTTCTGTTGCCACGTGCTTGTGTACAGACACGTGATTTCTCTAACAGGAAGTTGATGATCTGCCCCCCGATTGGTGCACCCTGGGATACATTGCTCATAGTATTTTCAATATGGACACGGTCTACATTTCCAATTTAAATTGTCATGTGACAAAAATGTAAACCCATTATTGGTATCAAAATAGAAAACTACAATTATAATATGGCTACAAAAAAAATATATGTGTTAAAGATTTTTGAAATATAAGCCTAAAATATCTACCTTATAATTGAACTGTATGTCCATGTATTTTCCAAACCGACTAGAGTTGTCATTCCTATTCGTCTTTGCATTACCAAATGACTGAAAATGAATTAACGATTAATAACATACATTTTAATATATCCATAACATGATATTTCAACTACTTAAACATTCGCACATTCGTAGACTGAAAAGGTCATTGGAAGAAATAGAATATTTTGAATTTAACTTTGAATTTAATTGTTTAACATCTTTGGCATTTGCCCGATGGACATCACAAAAGTTTAAGGCGCATTCACCACTTACCTCAAGGATGGGATTAGAATTTAAAAGTCTCGTTTTGACCGATTCTATCTCTTTTGAATGTGTACTGTTCGCAGCGATGTATTGTAAAATCTTTTTTGATGCCTCTGTTTTTCCTGCTCCTGACTCCCCAGATATGAGAACACATTGATCTCTACCCTCTGTGCGCATTGATCTGTAGGCCTGGTCGGCAATGGCAAACCTATGGATTAAAGATCTATGCATGAAATTCAGCTAAAGACGGAGATTCTCACAATTAGGCCTAGGCAATGTGCGTCAAAATGAAATAAAGGGCGAATTTTAAATATGGTTTTCTTTATCATAAACTTTATTTTGAAAAACACACATTTTCAACTTGTCCTACAATTCTACTGCCCATACATTATCTGAAACATATTATTGTTTATCATTTGTATGTACCTTAGCACGATCCTTTCAGTAGCAAAATATTATATTAACACTTACACGTGTGGTGGTAGTTCATAGAAGTTGACATTTCTGTACAGGGCTAGATATTTGGATGTGTAGATTCCCAATTGTTTATAGGGGTTAACTGATATCAGGACCTCCCCAATATAAGTCTGCAAACATTAATACAAGTGGTGAATATATAAATATACAGGGTGGGACAAAATTTCCCGATATGTCTATAAACATTAATAGAATTGTCCCAGGGGTAGAACAAAATTCCAAAACCTGAACAAATTTAGATTGTAAAGAAAATACAATAAGGTAACTTTGTTTAGATTCTCAATTAACATTTGGTACAATGAAAATCTTAGATGTATCAGTATAACAATCTTTCAACTTCAAATTTTCTGGGGTATAACATTTCTGTATTACTTGATTAGAAAGTTGTAATATACAATGTTGATTTCATATCGGGTATATAATTATGCACACACATTATTTCCATTGTGATTCGATTGGTTTATGTACCATCTGTTGTTTACATCAACAATAATGCTTCTCCTGGAAAATATAGTTCAATATTAAGGGTATTACATTCATTTGTATCTAGTTTTATGAAGTTCTTTTTAAACCGTCGGCGTCTTCAGCAAGATTTCATTATATCAGATCTTGTTACCAAAAATGGACCCCACCTGGCAAAAAATATTATCTATGTGATACCGTGCTATACATTAGATTATAACATTTAAATTATATCACATTTTAATTTACCCATTGGCTTTTAACATTAAACACATTAAAGAAGATTCTGTCAGAATGCAAATAAGTGGCGACCATTAGGAATACATGTATAGCAGCCATTTTGAAAATTCACTCTTGGGCATTTTAAATGTGAACCAAATCCAGCTGGTATTTGAGTCAAATTATATTGTATGTAGATGATCAAATCGTAAGCAATATTTACAATTTACCTACCTATGCCAGGTGTTCTGAACCATCATAAATCTCACAGACACCATATATTAAAAAATGTTTAATTAGAAATATAACTCTTAATTATGCATACACAGTACATGGTTACTTGTAAGTAATGAATATATATGGGTACATTATTGGAAAGTAAACAATATGGTTTCCTTGGGATAAGGTATACATGAACTTTTAGACTTTTGAGAGAACTAGCAAAAAAACTATAGTACAATAAAACTGAACTTTACAGCCTACTATCCAACTTTTATTACATCGGGTACACATTTTATGAATATCTATTCAAATATGATGATGCGAGGCTTTCACTTTTACCCACCCTGTGCGAGGGGTCCAGGAGCATTTGTATCACCTATGTAAGGGTGGTTTCATGAATGTCTTCCATTCCCGGGTAAAGCGCAAGCGGTGCGAAAAATGTGTTCAAATTCGTGGAAAATATGTTGAAAAGGCCTAAAGATCTGATCATGATGATGGCAGATGACACTCAGATTGAAAAATCTGAAATTCTCTCGTATCATAACTGGTGTTAGGTGGTGCACCTGCACCTAAAGTATTTGCCATTAGAGTTGTAACGTGATTTGCGTTTTTAGATACCGTTCCGGATGACAGGGTCCCCATATCAAAAATATCCAGAAAAGTAACTAAAATAAATTCTTTTCTGTTGAAACTTATATACAAAGTGGTTAAGATGTTCATCTTAATTATCTGAAGGTTTCATGCAATTATATTAAAAATAGCAAAGTTAGAGCGGGGTGTCCAAGAGTTTTGGATCACCCCTCGTATATACACTTTGCATATATAATTACACCCCCTTTCACAAGTTTTCATTGAATAGCATATAAAGCCTCCAGTGTGTGGATCCCTATTTTTAGTGTAGCTACAAGCCTCTGTGACCCCCCCCCCCCTAGCCCTCTACTTGATTGAACACCTTCTCATACAAGGGCCTGGCGCTAGACTACCTTATTTCCGTTCTTTAATTACAATAGTTAGAATTCTTCAAAATTGCCAAACATAAATAGGCTTTTATACATGATCCATAATTGGAACTTCCTTCCAAACTTATGGAGGGGGTGTACATGTACGTACTTATGAAGGGGAGTGTATTTACTGTAACTAGGTGAAAGAACGCTGTTGTCACACTGCCTTTATTTAGTAGTTCAATATTATTAATGGCTAGCGTTATTGAAATGTCTGACAATGTTAAAAGCTTTCCTGATACTGGTTCCTCTGTAAACATAATTGTATTTTTTACAATGGGAGTACAATTAAATAATAATCAATCAACTTATTAACAACCTAATTGAAATGGATTCTGGGTAGGATTTATTTACAAACATCACATGAAAATTTAAAAAATCGAACTGTCATGTCATCGTGACTCGCTTTCGCGAGGTAATGGTGTAATATTTTCTCAGTTTGAGTTTTGAAAAATAAAAGTAGTCAAAGTGATTTTCAATACATTTAACGAGTGACATGTTGACCGATATATTGTTCACATGTTACATTGATGAAACTGTGAACATATGTGACAATGTCAACATTGAGGCTACTGCTAACGTACAAGCTGGTACCATTTTCCGAGATTGTTTGATATTCTTCGTTACTATATTTTGATGATGTTCTATTTGTTTAAGACCAACAATGTGATCGTTGGTAGATATTTCTTTTGTCAGTCTCTTGTAAATATTCTTAAAAGCTGTGAAAGTTTTACCATCTAGAAAGTAGCATAGAAGAGTTGAAATAGTTACAGGTAAAACACATTTACAAACAATAAAGCGAGACATACCACCCATAATGCATGTTTGTTCAAGGATTGAAAATATTGGGCATCTGTCACCAAGTCTGGTTAAAAGAGTAATAGATCTTGGGATCAATGTATAAAAATGTCATATACAGGGTGTCAAATAAATATGTTATCCCCTTAAAACCGGTATATGAACTGCATAGAAGTGTATCTAGTTGAGCTAGTCATCTGAAACCTTTTGTGGAGTTGCTCCATGAAGCCTAGTTGTAATGTGCTTAAGAACATTTCAGATATGAGATACACAAAAAAGTTATGCAATATTATGTGAATGTTAAAGCTAAGGGAGAGAATGTATTTATTTGACACCCTGTAGTTATTTGAAGAGGATGGAGGTCCAATTCGATCATGTAAAATAGGTACTTAACTCACATAGATTAAATTTGAAGTAAATCTCTTTTTAAGATTCTCCACAAATGCTGATGTGCTTTTATAATCCTCGAGGAGCACGAAATCCGGGACTCCCGTCCGGTCCCTAGAGGGCAACCCGACGTCCATTTTCTCTTTCCAATTGCGGGCTAATGGCCACAGCCCATTGAAGCTATCTCCTGCAAAAGTTGTAATATTCATTGTTATATAGATTTTGATATGTTTTGAATGCATTAGCTGCATTGAAAATACAATTCCCATTGAAGCTATTTCCTGCAAAAGTTAAAAATATGCATTGTTATATAGATTTTAAATTGTTTTGAATGCATTAGCTGCATTGAAAATACAATTCCCATTGAAGCTATCTCCTGCAAAAGTTAAAAATATTCATTGTAATCTTTACCCACTGTAGCTATCTTCTGCAAGAGCTGTATGCATATCCATTGGGCAGTTGGGGATGTGCTTACTGATTAAAGGGATGTGTTTGAACAATGATACGGGGACTTGCTGATGACATGGGTGACGGGTCTCACATGAGAACGTATTCAACACATTTACTGCTAATGTCTTCTCCAATTTACTAGTAGCTTAACCGTCCCCTGAAAATCAAGAAGAATGATTTGTCCCCCAATTTCCTTAAAATAAACCTAAAATTAAAAAATCATAAAAATCATAATCATAAAGCCAGTTTGTTACCAACTTGTCCAGCTTCTGTGTGCAAGCAGATTTTGAGCCCTAATTTTGGGGGGAGGCCTCATCTATTGGCCAGCCCCCCCCCCCTGCCCCCTGCCCCCCATATCCGCCACTGGTTAACATGTGGTTTGAGTATAATTACAAACTCACCTAAGCCAGGAAATTCCATGATTTTTGATTTTATAAGTTCACTTTGCTAATCCATATCTCATTGAATTTAATCCATTGTGGTCAAAAACACCATATCAACTCGTTTATAGCAGAAAATATTACACATTGTAAATCGTATTCCAACTTTTGAACGTAATGATTCAACAAAGACTCAATGGTGACTCAGTAGTTTATAAAACACATTTTTCATTTGAATAATATCACACGAAAAAGCTATAAAATATACTACACCTGTTATCAACCTCATAACGTTATGGATTTCAAACGTCAAATCTTCAAAGAGATTTTAATTTATATTCAATTATCATATCCATCATATGTTATCATTAAACCAATTATCCCATTTTCTTTGCATTCGATTTGCATCTTATTTTTGAATATGATCACAACTCATGCACGAGCTCTAGCCTAGTATTCCGTTTTTTGAATAATTTTGAAATGTGTGGATTACTTTTTATCACGTTCGGAATTCTATTGTTTTTGTTTTCGCAGATGATAAAATACTTCACCCTTTTATGGTCGTGGGATCACGTCCGCATACCATCACATACGCCAGACGTGTATTTGAAACCAGGGAGAGAATCACAGCTAGAAGAACGTTCGGTTTTTGTATGCATGATTCTTTTAAATCACACCACAAAATATTTGTAACAAATAAAATACATTTTAAGATATACAGAAATAAATATTGATTTTACCTGACAGAAGTTTTAGGATTGAATAAATATCAATTCAACCAATAAATATTTTAAACAACTTACCTTTTAAATGTTTCTGATTTTCAAGGGATTATCCATGATATTATAATCAAAATTCCATAATTTAATCGTAATTTACTAATCTTTCAAATAGATTTACACGAAAGGTCATAAATCACTCCTGTCAATCTCTGAGAAGATTGATCCAATTTTGGGCGTGACTCGAATTACAAAACACACTAACTTAAACCATATGGCGACCATTAACTGTCAAGCACTAACGCAATGTGTCATCGAGTTCTATCTGTTTTAATATATAATTAAAATGGACGCTCGTTTTAATTTTTGTAACACCAGACAATTATGTAATTAATTAATTCAAACTAAAGTATGTCAATATTGAATAATTTTCTTTTCGGTTCAGTTTAGCAGATGGTGTTATAAGGATTTTATCGACGATAGTTTTGGGTGAAACCTTATGTTATATCCATAGTAACAACAATGTACACACAATACTGAAATATACAACACAACTCAACTCATCACCACACAACACAACACAATACATACAACACAACACAATACATACAAAACAATACAAAACATACAGTACAAAACAAAACAATATAATGCAATACAATACAATACAATACAATACAATGCAATACAATACAATACAATACAATACAATACTACCTAATTGTATGTGGCACAATGCCCAATAGCAAATATTGTGTCACACTTAAGTCATAGATGTAAGGAGACCCCAGCAAAAGTCTGGTGAGTTCAATGCCCCTCACCCAATGAAATAAAATGTTGGAACTCAAATAACAATCCGATGTAATAAAGTCACTGTAAAGGGATGCAAATATAAATCCAGCACAAAATGCTACAGGGTGACCAAAATGGCAAACCTAATATGAGCCTAATCAAACAAAGTGAAAAAACATGAACATTAGATCTTAATGAATTAAAATCAGTGTTCGCGTGTATTCAAAAGCTAAGATAAAAAATAAACAGTTATAGTTGTAAAATTAAGTCATGGGTGTCTGGTAGCATCTTGCTTCATCAAGCTTCGGACCTATCCTCATAAAACGTAGTGATTGAGCGTGGGAACCGACGATGGTCTGGTAGTGAGACTTTAGTCTTAATGAACTTATACATTAGCTGCTATGGACCGACTTTGAAGGATGGGGGAAGGGCCCGGGAGTAAAAGAATATTTGACCAGATTTATTGCCCCCAGGGTGGGGAACTTGACACATTTATTTGGTCCTAGGGTAAGAAATTAGGCAGGCCACATTTTTTATGGTTAAATTCCCCATCCATGCGCATGCGGGGGATCTCACACAATGAATGGTGCATAAAGTTCTCGTGATGACACCAGTGTCGAGATATATAGAAAAATGCCCTGGAAATTGATCTGATGGGTAAGATGACATGAAATTCTAAAATAAAACATTGATTTACTCCAATTTTTAACCAAAAAGCAAAGTAGCCTAAGAAGGAAGCAATCCCCATTAAATCTGAATAAAAAACGACGAAAACAAACAAAAGGGAACCTATGCTAGTATCTCCATCAATTAAAACATCAATGCATGCTATTTTGAGATTTCTTTATTTCTCCGCATAATGACCTTTAATGTTGATAACTTGACTAAGTATTTGAAATGTGATACCAACGATGCCATACTGCATAGTCATTATAATGTGGACATAGTCTTCGAGATCGTCCATAATCAATTGATTTGCACTTCATTACACGTGAGAAAAAAGGTGTGGCACATCGACGTTCTTATAGGCTAAGCAATGGTGGATTAACATTGCACTAATTGATACTTATCCATCTTGAACATCCAATGTGGTTATACCAGTTGGAGCAACTGAAGCCTGGTAAATCATGATGAACTCATCAGTGTTGTGAACGATGTATGGGGGTATTTGTAGAGAAACGATAATAGGAAGATATAAGCTGTGGGCACAGTAAATATAAAGAAATCGTTGAAATGAAATGACCCAAAATAGTGACGTCAAGGATAAAAGCCCCAGTAAACTTGTCCACTGTAGGGCAATAACAGTTTTCATTTAACAATTACTTACACATAAAAATGTATCTAACTTCAAGATATTTACATACATCGGAGCCTTCGTGCCTCGGAGTTCCATATTTGTCCACTGCGTATATTTTTCTACACGTTTTATTGCACCCTTGGAACCTGGGTGCTATATTGTGATCAGTTTGCCGGGCGGGTGGTTTGCTGGGCGGGCGAGTGCATGGAGTCCCGATAAATCTTGTCTATAGGTTTCCAGCCAAACCGTTTCAGGGATTGATCTGACATTGTCAGGGATGTTTCTACCTACAAAGGTTTAGAACTGATTAGTTTTGGGGCATTCCGGGTAAATGTTGAGGCGGCCATTTTGGATTTCCGTCCTAAAAATCCTGTCAGTCAAGACTTGTCTACAGGTTTCCAGCCAAATATCTGAAAAACTCCATGTGCAGCATAGCAAGTGATTTTAGACGGTCATATCTTTCACCATGGGTAAGTTTACTTTCTGTCCACCAATGCAGTAGTTTTTATTAAAACAATGTGTTTTCTTTCAAGTGAAGTCTCCAACTCTCTGAAAAATATGGATTAGGACCCCCACCTTGGCACTTTTAAAAAAATGTTAGGCTCATTTTCTGAAAAGAGGATCTTGTTTTTCTCAATTTAAAATCCTCTACACTGTATTAACAATTTCTGAAAAGGGGGTGCGTATTGAAATGTGTTAAAGTTAAAAACCACATATCCCATGTTTTTTCCCATTACAGGGAAAACTTGTGCTATCTATTGATTTCAGCATAATTTTGGTCATCGAAAATTGATTTCTTCAAAACTAGACTTTCAATACCATTCTACTTTTGAAGAAGTTTTAGACCCCTTGTTGAATAATCTTTTCATGCAATAAAACAAGAAAAATAAGATCTTCTTTTGAGTAAATAGGTTCAACATTTTGAGAAAAAATGATAAAAGCATTGGTGTTAAAGATATGACTGTCTAAAATCACTTGCCATACTGCACATGGACCTTTTAGGAATGTTACTAAGTATGAATGTAAAGAACTGATTAGTTTTTGGGTGGTCTGGGTAAATGTTAAGGTGGCCATTTTGGATTTTCCGTCCCGAAACTGTCTATTCTATTCAAGGGTGCGATTCTGGTCACTCTGTGTCTTGTTCATATTTTTCTATCGATATCATAATACTCGATACGCCTAAAGGAACTGTTGCAATTAGTACGTTGTTAAGCCAACTTTTGAACTCGATTGTTTGGCTTTTTATCGGTCTATACAAGGTGAGCAAAAATGCGTTTCACATTTCGTCTAAGAATATTGTGTTAGGCTACTTATGCTTTAAAGAGATTTTCTAATTTAGCTACTTATACTGTCAGATATAATTTATGTGTCTGAAATTAGTCTTGCTTAATTATTGAAGATTTATCAGTTGAAGTTTTTTTCCCAAAATACACGTATTGGGACTTTTTAGAATGATGATGATGAGAGAAAACTGTGGCATTTCTTTTTTTGAAATTTGATCTCAACTCCTCTCTGTGCATTCCGTTTCCTTTCATTATCGGTTATCATGAAAAATATGAATCTTAAGATCCAGAAAAACAAAATAAGATATCCCCCTTCTCTTTACAAAAACATGGGCTGCTTTTGTTATTCACCCTGTATGAGAAATAAATATCAAAGTGCATAACAACACTTTAGCAGTCGATGACTTTCTTCTGATGAACATGCAGCTTCACGGAAAATTATTCTTGGTGCTCTTTATGCACTAGTAAACGGTATGTATCACTTTGATTTCATTAGATTAAATAAAGTACATTTTTTTAAATTAATGTAATTCATTGTTTTTTATTAATGATCAGTTATCTTTAACAAATTGAGCTCTCATAAAAAATGATAAAAAATTAACTTCGTAACATCAAACCGAGACCTCCAGTCGAGTTCTAAATTATCACACAAAGCAAGTGCATTAATTTTAATCATCCACAGATTATCAAGTTCTGCATTTCAATTATTTTCAAAAATTGCAAATAGTTTGAACAATATCATAAGAAAACAATTGATTCAAAGACATTTTGTTCATTTAAAGATAAAATAATTCAAAGGGGCTTCCAATTGCGAAATCTGTGAAGGGCAGGGGAGTAAATGTGTGAATATATCTTATTCCAGGAGCTCTGTATTGTGAATCTGAATGGGACCTTTACGATGGTCATTGTTACCGTAAATTCTCTTCAGAGTTGGGCTTCGCGGATGCTAGGCTGGCATGTCAATCATTTGGCGCTGACCTTGTTGTCATAACAACAAGCACTGAAAACGAACACGTCATCGATAATTATGTTCCGAATCTTTTCGCCTCGCTTTGGATTGGAGTTCACAATGTTGCAGGGAATTTCAAATACACTGATGAATTCGATACACCAGTAACATATACTTAGTACGATCATTTAGTTATTGTCATTGTGAGATTACCAAAATTAAGAATTGTAAATCTTAGTCGGTTGAAGTCAATTTACTTTCAGAAAATTCGGACTAGTGTACAATAATTGTTAGAATTATTATATACCCCTTTTGTATTCTAGATGCTCATTGGCTTATTCATGGTCACATGATATGAAATAGATGAACTTATTCCCTGGAAAGTCCTAACAGGGATATATACGGGATACTATAAAAATAAAAAACTATTTCCCCCAATGACAGTCACTATTTGTATACTATTAAACCCAGTTTTACCATGTATTACAACGCTGTTCAACCAGATACCTACTTTGTTTTTTCACTACTTTGCAAGTTTTTGGGGCTGAAAACGTAATTTATGAATATAATGTTTCAGCTGGAACAGCGGAGAGCCCGATTACTCCGGAACATGTGTGCGGATCTACCTGAATAAATGGAGAGACTCTGGTTGTGGTTCCCAACCTTATTTATGTGAAAGAAATCAATGGGGTAAGTAATCCGATAGACGTCAATCGAGTCCGTGATATTCTTACAGCCCCGAAGCCTGATTCCATTCTTCTATTGTCACAGTCTCAATGTTGAGAGACTTAGCTTGTATTGGCGAATGCAACTAACGGGTAGCGGCTACCGGATTAAGATACTATTTTTATGACCAACTCATTTAAATATGAATGGAATAGTGGAAGGTACTATTCATATTTAAATGAAGGAGTTTAATCCGGTAGCCGACAGGCGTTAGTTACATTTGAAGTACAATACAGGATGTATTCTGCTCGAGAAATTCCGTATTGGAACGAGACGAAGTCGAGTGCCAATACAGAAAATCGAGACAGAACACGGTGTCCAATACTACCCAACGTAAATCGTTGGACGGACTTGTTTTTCACAACCATTTGGACTCGATTTATGGAAAAGCGTGGAGGTAGGTTTGTAAATTTGGTTATGAAATTGCTTTCACTTGACTCTATGTAAATATATTGGACTTAAATAACTTACCATACTATATATCCTAACTGCAGGCACCCGCAAACGCGTTATTCATTATTCGTATATTCGTTTTTTTATTTCTGCCATTTTAGCGATCATTCATTTTTGAGCAACACGATGTGAGCCCAGTACCCACGGTACTATTTACTTATTTTGTCTTTTTGTATTTTGTTCAAAGATGATGTCTCGCGAAATTCACTTTTGGCCCATTTCCTAGCTTTAAAAATAATTTCAGGTGTCCTGCATTGTAAAAAGCCATGTCATTGTAAAGAGTTGTTGTATGAAATAATTTTGTTACAAAAAATTGGCAAAAGTTTATATCCGTTTTTTTTATTTCTGCCATTTTAGCGATCATTCATTTTTGAGCAACACGATGTGAGCCCAGTACCCACGGTACTATTTATTTATTTTGTCGTTTTGTATTTTGTTCAAAGATGATTCGACCACTATCATTCCAAACATCACAACATCAACGCCTACAACACGGCCGGCAACAACAGAATTACAACTCAACACAACTCAAATTACAACATCACCAACAACATCGACTATATCATGGACGACAACAACATCACCATTGACAACAGAAGCAACAATGACGACAACAGCATCACAATTGACAATATCAACAACGACAACAACAGCACAACCATCACCAACAACAACATTGACAACCAGACAACCATTGTCAACAGCAACGTTGTCGACGACAACAGCATCAGCAATGCCAACAACACGACTGATAAACGCAACGACACTAACCTTATCAGATGGTACAACAAATGTTACGTCATTATTGCCAAACGTGGTTCATTTGATTCCTACAGAATGGAAACCAAAGACCCAATTAGGTAAGCATGGGCTGAGAAAGAACGGGAATGGCAACTCACGTCTTTCATTGTTCCATGTCTATCTCCGACAAATGAAATATGTCACATCCAGAGGCTTATAGCTCGGTGGTTTCTAGCGCCCTTGGAATTTTTGGAAAAGTGAATCTTCCCTTTGCAAAAGTTGGCTACGGGCTTAACTATCTGTTTCTAAGCGAAATGAAAAAGTAAAGCATGCACACCAATTTAATAAATATGTTCTCATTAATAACACCTTGTTTGGCGCAATTTATAAGGTAAAACATCTAATCAGAATGTCTTTACCAAAATCTACTGGCGGAAGAAGTTTTTTGCGACAGCTGAGATTATTACATAGTAAATAGTTGCATTTTCATTCGCTACAAAAACAACCGTTTCCCTAAGAGATAAATCCTTGAACCCCTAAAATGAATATAAATTGCAGACAAATCCCATTTAAACTGTAAATTATATACACTACCGTACGTTTTTTTTGTAGATAGAGCAAATCCAACGTTTACACCAGAAGAAGCCAAATACGCCGAAATACTGGGCGTCAGTGGGATATTTGTCATACTAGGGGTAGTTATAGCAGTCGTTGTTATGGATATTAATACATTGAAATTAAATGGCCATTTGATGATAAAGAATATACGGAGATTCAAAAAAACAATCAAACGAAAAAATCAAACGAGGAGAAATGATAATCCCAGAAGGCCTAGCTGTGCTCGTATGGTTGAAAATGACGACATGCAACTCCAAAACGTTTGAATCAATTTACGAGTGAAAATTTTGACTAATTATGTTAGAACCCGAAGTGGCATACCCATA